GTGCGTGCGTGCCTGCGTGCCTGCGTGCGTGCGTGCGTGCGTGCGTGCGTGCGTGCGTGCGTGCGTGCGTGCGTGCGTGCGTGCGTGACGTGCGTGCGTGCGTGCGTGCGTGCGCACAGAACACGATGAGCATGCCCATGTAGACCTTGTACAGCATGCCCAGGTCCCACACGGGCAGTTTATAGATGGTAGAAAGCACATTCTCTTTCTCTCTCTCCGTCTCGTTGCTCCCACTCTTACCGACGTAGCAATTATAGCAGTCTGCCTTGCTTCCAAGCTGTTCACTCCCGCCAGGATATTAATAGAGTTAGAGCAGAAGACAATGAGCATGCCCATGTAGACCTTATATAGCACGCCCAGGTCCCACATGGGCACCTCCTCGCCCCGCCAGCCCTGCCAGCAACGGCTTGGGAATGACGATTTTTGGAGTGCCTTACGAGTCAGCTTGGCTTGGGAGGGGTGGGTGAGGAGGAATTTGAGACAAGTCAGCTGAAAACTCAGCGCACACTTCTTTAACTTGCGCCATCAACGCCCTTGATACGAGTCCTGACTCCATATGGACCCCCAACATCAACCCCCACCCCTCCCCCCCCCCCCCCCCCCCTCCCGCAGCATCCCTCAGCACTCGCACGCGCCAGGTGATGTCGAGCACGTCGTCAATATACCCCATGACCAACCCCACCACCACCCCCGCGGCACCCCCTAGCACCCTACAGCACCACTTCCAAGCACTCACACGCGCCAGGGGATGTCGAGCACGTCGTCTATAAAGCCCAGGAAGGCCATGTAGCAGATGCAGGCGAGGGCCGCGTTGTACTCGAGCAACCACTGAGGTGGTGGTGGGGTAGGGAGTAGGGAGGGCAAGGTAGGCAAAAGGGGGGGGAGCAGGGCGAGCAGAGGAATAAAGCCGAGGAAGGCCATGTAGCAGATGCAGGCGAGCGCTGCGTTATACTCGAGCAACCACTGGGAGGGCAAGGGAGGGCGGGTAGGGGAGAGCAGGAGGGTGAGAGGGTGGACAGGCAGCTAGGGGATGTCGAGTACATCGTCTATGAAGCCAAGGAAGGCCATGTAGCAGATGCAGGCGAGGGCTGCATTGTGCTCGAGCAACCACTGGAGAGGAAAGGAAGGGAGAATAAGTGAGAGCAGGAGGGTGAGAGGGTGGACAGGCAGCCAGGGGATGTCGAGCACATAGCACATCGTCTATGAAGCCGAGGAAGGCCATATAGCAGATGCAGGCGAGGGCTGCATTGTGCTCGAGCAACCACTGGAGAGGAGCGGAAGGGGGAATAAGTGAGAGCAGGAGGGTGAGTGGGTGGACAGGTTGGGGATGTCGAGCACAGGCTGGGTTACTTGCACTCCACTCACCGCTGAAATTACCAGAATGGACGACGGCCTATCATATTGATGCCGCGCACCGTCCCAGCAGATCACGATGCAATCAACAGATATCCAACTTCCACTTGCCCCTTTCCCCACCTCCTCCCTCCTTACCTCCCCTTCCCCACCTCCCCCCTCCCTACCCGCTCCCCCCAACCTTTCTCATCCACCGACCTTCACTAAAATGGGAGTGCATGAACTAGCTGAGACTTCCGATGAAAACGATCGCATACTTGCACTCCATTCACATAACCATCACATTCGGAAACGATCCTCCTTGACACAACTACACCACATACCAACATCGCTGGTGGCCTTTCGTTATACTCCATCTTTATTTCTCCAGCCGGGAACCTCGCTTGTTTATGTCGTATCCGAACATGTTTCTCCGCAGCATACAAGGCACCGCCATCGGAATCAGCTTCGTCGTTACAACGAATCCTGCGAAGCTCATAACGGCGTTTATTGTAGTAGACCTTCGTTCTAACGGATCGAGCTCCATCACGACAAACGCCGCTATAACGAGAGTCAGGACGCACGCCACGAATATCCCCACGCGGACGCGCCGCGACCATCTGTTCAGCGGCGGTGCGATGGTTTGCCATCAGCGACGGCGGAAGCATCGCCTGGTTTGCCATCAGCGACGGTTTTCGAGTCATATGCCGTCGCGACGCTTTGCTTTGGTCTCCGTGCTTGTGCTTGGCTGCGAGCCATCACGCGGCTCCAACAGCAAGGCCGTCGCGCTCAAGCTGCGGCTTTGATCTGATGTCCAAGGCTCGCAGATTAGCGGCTAAGCAGAGACTGGAGTGTGAGCTTGGGAAGCCGAGAACGTGTCAAAACATTGTATGCATTCTATCTCTCTAGGTTGTGTAGGGGTTATCCTTAGAGGGTCCAACCCATTTCTCGACACTCTTGTACCCCCCCGCCCCCTCCCCCCCCCCTGATTACCTAATCCATCATACCACTTCTCGCTAGTTTCTAACATAACGTGGGCGATTAGACGGAGAGATGACGGGACAAGTTACACAATCAGGCTACTTAACAACTCTAAGCAAAGGCAAGGGATGCAGCAGTTTTCGTGGTCGAGCGAGCTAGAGACATTTGAGGTAAAAATGAGATTGGTTGAGAAGCTTGAGCCATGGTAGTCGAAGCTTGTATTGCAAGAAGCACTTTTTGAAAAGGCTACCAACGGGATCGTCCGTCAACAAAAAAACATTGATTATAGATTCTTGTCCATCCGTTATTGGCCTCTCCGCTTTTCTAGTTTACCCCTTGTACGGTGTACACCGACCAAGATCGGTCTAACAGGTCAAAGCATATTCAACATCTTGATTGCATGAAACATCAGGTTCAGGTTCAGTTCAAAATAAGCTGAGTATCGCACCGGTAAATTGTTCCAATCATTCCAGTAAACCCCTATCGGTACATTCAAAGTTAGAGATCTTGTCGAGGATGGCTTCGGCAGTACTACCTAGGAGCCATGCATGCTGCAACCGCAAGCAGAGCGCCACTGATTCAGTTCTCGTTCCGTCCCTCGCGTCGCTCATGTCAGAACAACACAATGTCAGCAGCCAGCTCCTTTCATACAACATGAAAACTTCAGCGGTTCCTAATATGGACGAGGAATCAACCATTCGTACTTTTCCTCATTGTGGTTTGTGTGCGCATATAGTAGTGATACGCGAGCAGGTACGCAGCAGGATCGTCAGAGGATGGGCAAGTTTGGAGTGTGGATTTTAGCCTTGGGGGGAGGCGTATTGACCCTCCTTTATCTGCTTCCGTGGGCGTACATCGCCCTTGACCTTCTTGGGAATTGCCGCGATGCGCCGCGTACAGTGCAAGAGGTATTCCATTTGCCAGATGCCTCATCGTAAGAGGAACTGAGGAGTTTTCTGAGTTGATAATGTTTCAATGGCTGTTCGGAGAAGGATCCCAAATCAGCGAAACCCATTTCCCTCTGCGTGCTTCTCCCGACTGCAGCCCTCCATCTCGTTTGAAGAGATCGTCAGCCAAGGCACGTCCGATAAGCGCACGCATCACTACGGTGCTTTCTACAGCCTCTATCTCGACCCGCTGCGCCTGCCGCGGCCATCTTATGACACCAAAACCATCAGAAGATCACGCGGGCGGAAGCAAAAGGAATCGGCGTGGGAGATTCCCGAGGTGAACATGCTGGAGATCGGGCTCAAGTACGGCGACTCGCTGAAGCTGTGGAAGCGGGCGTTTCCTAGAGGCAGAATCTACGGCATCGACAACGGAGTAATTTCCAAGGTGAAGGTCTCTGTGTTTGAGAACAAAATTGACTAAAGTTAAAAAGAGTGTCATCTGAGCATCTCCGTTGTAGTCTAGTCGGTTAGGATATTCGGCTCTCACCCGAAAGACCCGGGTTCAAGTCCCGGCAACGGAATTTTGTTACTTCTGCGGACAACCATCCCATTCCCTTTGTTGTCTAGTGTCCATCCTGATGCTTCCCTCAGCAACACCAGGGAATATCACTTACTTGCTGCCCTCAACCGTCGAGTGCGGCTGATAGCTTACCTTCCCCACCTCCTTTGCCCCCTCCCTCTTTTTGAATACCTCACGACCCTCTTCTCTCCCTGTCCCTGTCCATCCCACACCCATCCCTCGCCTGTACTTCTCCCACCCCCATCTCCTCTCGTTTTTGTGTCTGTCCAATGCGCACGTCACATCCCTCGCCTGTGCTTGTCTGTCTCATGCCCATCCCAATCCTTTTCGCCTTTCGTCTCCAAGTACCAGGCATTGGCGCAGACCCGCAGCCGCAGGTGATAAGATGATTTTTGAGTTGACTAAAAACCCGTCTCCGAGTGCCATGCAGAAGCGCAGACCCGCAGGTGTAGCTGATGGTGTCGCCGCCCCACATCCTGAGTCCAGTCCATGTTTGTCCCATGTTCCATCTCATGCCCAACCCCCATCTATACGCCTCTGCTTCCTCAGAAGCACCATGCAGAGGCGCGGGACTCGCGGGTGTGTCTCTTCCCTGCCTCCTCGCCCTGTTCATCACACACCCATGCCCCATCCACTTTGTCTCTCATGGATGCAGAAGCACCAGGCGGAGGCGAGGGACCCGCAGGTGCGGCTGATGGTGGGTCTCGTCCCCACCTCCTTTGGTCCGTCCATGATTATTACTTCTTTCTCTCTCCTCCCTCTCATCCCCACAGAAGCACCAGGCGGAGGCGAGGGACCCGCGGGTGCGGCTGATGGTGGGCAACCAGGCGAATGGGACGTTCCTGGAGCAAGTGGTGGCTGAGATAAAGAGTGCGGTGAGGAGTGGTGGCTGAGATAAAGAGTGCTGTCAGGAGCGGTGGTGAGATAAAGTGTGTGGTGAGGAGTGGTGGCTGAGATAAAGTGTGCGGTGAGTAGTGGTGGCTGAAATGAATAGAGCGGTGAGAAGTGGTGCGAGAGATAAAGAATGTGGTGAGGATTGGTGGTGGCTGAGATAAGAGTGCGGTGAGGAGTGGTGCCTGAGGTAAAGGGTATGGTGAGGAATGGTGGCTGAAATAATAGTGTAGTGAGGAGTGTATGTATGGGGAAAGCGTGCGGTGGGTAGTGGTGGCTGAGAAAATGAGCGCAGTGAGGAGTGGTGACTGAGAAATGGAGAGTCGTGAGGATGGATGGCTGCCATAAAGAGAGGAGGTGTGATAGAATGGTGAGATGCAGTTTCTAGGTGGCATGGTCGGCAAGGGGATGGATTTGCATATCATGGGGTGGTGAAGATGGCACTGATGGTTATGTTGGTTAGAAAATGTATGGTATGCATGGCATGGTGCATCGCATGGTGTATGGTATGGTGAATGGCATGGTGCAAGGGATGGTGCATGGTATGGTGCATGGTATGGTGCATGGCATGGTGCATGGTATGGTCTGCATAGCATATTGTGCATGACATGGTGTGCATGTGCTACGTGATTGCCCTATAATGTTAGTCATTTCATTCTGCTTTTCTTGGGTATCCTTGTCCTCATTACTGTGTTGTGACTCGTTTTATGTTATTGCATTGACTCATATCTGATTTTTGTCTTGTGACTCGTTTCAGGTGGGTCTGCTTGACTTCATAGTGGACGATGGTGGTCACACCATGGATCAGCAACAGACATCCCTCAAACACCTCCTTCCTCTTGTCAAGGTACCTTAGAAAATACCTTCATTCACTGATAGTAACTAAGCTTACCTGCAACCACTACCCGTTTTCTCCTGCCATTCATAAACGTATTACTTTTTTTATTATTTTCCTCTACCATCTTGCCTGCAACATATACCCTTGTTTCTGTCCTCTGCAGTTTTTACAAATGTACCATATCCATTCTCCTCCTGGTTCCCTCTACCAGAGCCTTTCCCTCATATCGTTGCAATCTTCTCCCATACATTCCTCTTCCTGCATGGGAGGACGGACGTGTCGCAGCAGGGATGCTGAAACAGAAAGAGGGCACCTTTCTCATCCCCACCTCATTTCGCCCCACGTCCTTTTCAAGCTTCCTTCTCGTTCCCATGTCAATTCCCCTCCCTTTGCCTCCCATCCTTCATCGAATCTTATCAGCCTGGAGGGACGTACTTTATCGAGGATGTGGAGACGTCGTACTACACCAAGTGCCACGTTACAGGGTGTTACAGGGGCGGTCCTCCTGGCTTGAACACTACAACTATACACATAATGAAAGAGCTCATAGATGTGATGAATAAGGAGTTCTTTCAGAAGCAGGCGTACTACCGGAATGTAACACGTCCGGGGTTTTATGCATCTCCAGTCGAAGAGTTGGTGGGAGCAGTACACTGCATGCGCAATATCTGCGCTCTTAGGCGTAGATCTAGTCACTGGTTCTAGTAGTTTGAGGTGCAGGATATAACGACCTGGTACACTGAATACTTGCTTTGTTTCACTACAATACCTCTCCTGTCTGCATTACAGTGCCAGGTGAATAAGCCAATTGCAGTTGTAACAAGTAAAAATCTGGTAAGTACAAAACTGGTCTACATACATTCGTATCCAGATACTGTAACTAACCAAGTAGAGGTGTCAACTCACTAGACTAAAATATCCTGCTTGTGCTAATACCAAGGACTAGATTTCCGTCTAAGCGCACAAATGTTCCTCATGCAGTGTACTGTGCCCACCAAATCCTCCACAGGAGTAGTGTAAAATTCCTCACTTGCGGCCCTCTTGATATAAGCCTGCTTCTCGATATAGTCACGGTTTACCACGTCCATTAGCTTCTTGAGAACATGTATCGTTGTGGTGTTGAGACCAGGGGGGCCACCTTCGTAGCACCCTGTAATGTGGCATTTGGTGTAGTACGATGTCTCCAGATCCTCTATAAAATAAATTCCACCAGGCTGGGTAAAAACAATGGGGGAGTAGGAGAGTCGGAAGGAGGGAGGGAAGTGGTAAACAAAAGTCAGACCCCAGAAATTATTATAACCAGAAAGACCGTGCCTTTATGAGAGAACAAGAAGGTGGAGCATGGAGGGGTGGGAGTGGGGGGGGGGTGGAGGAGAGTGGCGGGAGCGGGAGGACGGATGGATGAGGGGAAACGGAGCGACGGCGGAGGGAAGCGGGAGAAAATGGGGAGGGCTGAGAGGAGTCATGCGGAAGTTGGGCAGACAGGGAGGAGGAGAAGAACGAGAGAGGGATTGCAGGGGAAGCAAGGCTGGAGGGAGAGAGGAGTTGAGAAGTGAAAGAGACACGAGGACGAGGGGAGGAGGAGAAGGAAGGAGAACCAAAGTTGCAACTTGAAGATGGGCAATCAAAGTACGACACAGGAGTGGTATGCATGTGTTGAGTAACAGCCAGATAAACCAAAACCAGAAGCACGGAATACCCTGATTAGCAGCAAAAATATTTTGGAGTCGACTCAAAAGTCACCCCAAAACTAGAGGCACAAAATACCTTGACAAGTGGTAGGAGGTGTTTGAGGGATGTCTGTTGCTGATCCATGGTGTGACCACCATCATCCACTATGAAGTCAAGCAGACCCACCTGACACGAGTCACAGCACAGTAATAAGAAGGGAGTTGATACAATGACAAGGAAAGAGTGACAACACAGTGATAAGAAGGGGGTTGATACAATGACAAGGAAAGAGTCACAACACAATAACGAGGACAGGGGCAGCCCAAGTAAGAGAAAGAGTTCAAAAGATAGTATTTCAAACGCATGCCCTTCCACTGCCATCATGACGCATGCCATTCCACTGCCATTCAAACGCATGCCATCCCTCTGCCATTCAAACGCATGCCCTTCCACTGCCATTCAAACGCATGCCATTCCACTGCCATTCAAATGCATACCATTCCACTGCCATTCAAACGCATGCCATTCCACTGTCATCATGACGCATGCCATTCCACTGCCATTTATTCCATGCCCTTCCACTGCCATTCAAATAGACTCCTTCCTATGCCACTGCTTCATTATATCTGCGTGAATCTGACTTACATAGCAGTATCACACAATTTTCCACCAGCACACACATACGGCTTATCCCATCATTTCACCCCATCCCATCCCAACCCATTCCCTCCCATCCCATCCCATCCCATCCCATCCCATCCCATCCCATCCCATCCCATCCCATCCCTTCCCTTTCCCTTCTCTTCCCTTCCCTTTCGTTTCCTTACTTCCCTTCCCATCCCATCCCATCCCACCCACACAGCCCAACCCATCCCATCCCATACCGTCCCATCCCCTCTCTTCCCCTCCCCTCCCAACCCAAGTGATCCCATCCCATCCCACCTCTAGTTTAAGCCCAACCCTCGCCATGCAACACCACACCACATCACACTCAACATCGTCTTACCGCATCAGGCATCACTGAACGCTTTATCCCCAGCCACCACTCCTCACAGCACTCTTCACCCCAGCCACCACTCCTCACCACACTAAATATCTCAGCCACCACTCCTCTTTATCTCTGCCACCACTCTTCACCGCACTCTTTATCTCAGCCACCACTCCTCACCGCACTCTTTATCTCGGCCACCACTTGCTCCAGGAACGTCCCATTCGCCTGGTCGCCCACCATCAGCCGCACCCGCGGGTCCCTCGCCTCCGCCTGGTGCTTCTGCGGAGACGAGCGGCGAAGCGAAGAGAACAGGGGATGGGTTTGGGACAGACATGGACAGGTGAGGGATGGGTGGTGTGGGATAAACATGGTCAAGAGAGAGGGAAGAGACACCATCATTTCATGGTCGATCCCGCACATCCTGCCTCTCGTAAACGCTCTCTTCAACAGCTTTGGCGAGTCGCCGTATTTGAGCCCGATCTCCAGCATGTTCACCTCGGGAACCTCGGGACTCTCGAGACCCTCGGGTACCTTGGGAACCTCGGGACCTTGAAAACCTCGGGCTTACCTTGGAGATCATCTCATTGTCACCTCGGAAACCTCCCACGTCGACTCGGGACCCTTGAAACCCTCGGGCTTACCTACCTGGGGTCCCTCGGGCTTACCTACCTGGGGTCCCTCGGGCGTACCTTGGAGATCATCTCATTGTCAATGCCATAAATCCTGCCTTTTGAAATCGCTCTCTTCTAAAATGCTCACCTCGCGACCCTCAGTCAGACGGGACCCTCGGATGGGACCTTCGGGATCCCCGGGCTTGCCTATCTTGGGACCCTCGGGCTTACCTTGGAAATCATCTCGTTGTCAATCCCGTAGACCCTGCACGCCCGCTTCCACAGCTTGAGCGAGTCGCCGTATTTGAGCCCGATCTCCAGCATGTTCACTGCGCAAACCTCAAAACCCTCAAACTTACCCTGGGAACCCCGGTGCTTACCTTGGAGATCATCTCATTGTCAATGCCATATATCCTGCCCCTCGGGAACGCCCGCTTCCACAGCTTGAGCGAGTCGCCGTATTTGAGCCCGATCTCCAGCATGTTCACCGCGCGCGGCTCCCACGGCTGCTGCTCCTGCGAGTCTTGCGTGTTCTGTGTGTACTGAGAGTGGTCATCTTCGCCTGGCTGGGGCTGCTGGCAGTTGGCGGGGGTTTCGGGCTGCAGCGGCAGGCGGAGCGGGTCGAGATAGAGGCTGTAGAAGGCGCCGTAGTGATGCGTGCGCTTATCGGACGTGCCTTGGTTGACGATCGCTTCGAACGAGATGAAGCCGGCCTGCCAGGGAAACGCGTGAATATCACGGAGAAGGAGATACGCATAAAGAGTTTGTAACATGAATATTGAGTTGTTACAGAGAATGGTGATTAAAGAATCATGTGGAAAAAAACAGGTAGGGGCGATTAACTAGGAACGCAGGCCAGTATTACTGCTACTAGGAATGAGGGGGACAATATAGATTGGCTGCGACTACGTGAGACATTGAGAGATCTTAAGGCACATCAGAGTTAACGCCGCTTTTCTCGAGGCGCCTCAAAAGGATTTATGGGGTTTTTTAGGAGCCTGAAGAAAACTAATCGAGAGACCCCCAGGTACATTTGAGTTATCGCCGCGCTGGTTAAGGCCGGACTGCACAACAAAATAATTAGCAGCCTGGTAGTGACGCAGTATTAAAGCTCTGCTCACGAACGATACTTATAACGGATCGTCAGTACGACTGGTGTATCACATTGCTACCTCTGATGTGTCGCTGCAGTTCTGGATAAGCTTATACGCGATATACGCCCACGGGAGGAGGTAGACAACGAACAGGACGCCTCTTTGCGGCATAGCAGATTTCCAGTCGACACCCTTCCCCATCCTCCCGACCGCGGCCTTCTGCTGCAGCTGGGGTTTGCGACCTCGTTCGTGAATGTATCAGACTGCGGGATTCCCGCCTATTGCGCACACAGGACTATGAATGATGCGCTGTCTGAATCCGTTGAGAATGGTTCTACGTTGCACCCACTCCGAGCCGTCACATACTCCTAGGAGCGCGGACCAAGTACGTCTGCTTTCGACAGAATGACGGAATTTCAAGGGTGTGTGGGTATGTGTGAGTGAGCGCGTGACTGGAAAAGGTTAGTTCAGAATCAAGGGGCTCCCCTAGAGGCACTCTATGCACTGTGTTATGTACAGTACCAGCGACTGTGCCAGATTTGTCCTCGATAAAACCCCGACAGCGCAATAGGCACTGGTGTGCAGAACACTTCGAGACCTCAGGACATCAAACGTGCCTAAAGAATACCAAACGGCTCCTTGATTCTTGATGTTCCAGTGTTTTAACTACATCTGCAAGCCGATATTGGGAGAAAATGAGAAGCAGAAATATGTTTCCTACTCTAACCAAGCACATTCTAGTTGGTGTTGCTAATACCAGTGGCTAGTCTTCCGGCGAAGTGCACACATGTTCCTCATGCAGTGCACAGACCCCACTAATTTCTCCGCCGGAGTTGCATAGAACTTCCCATGCGCCATGTTCTTGAAATACACCTGCTTCTCGAAAAACTCCTTGTTCATCGCGTCTAAGAGCGACTGCATAACGTGCATAGTGGTGTCCCCTTCAGGAATGCCTTCCGTATAAGACGTCTCCACATTTTCAATGAAGTAGGTTCCACCAGGCTGGAACAGCAAGATTGGTGGTGGGTGTATCAGGGATCGGAGGCAGGAGCGGAGGAAAGGAGGAGGAGAGAAAAGAGAGTAAGAAAAGAAAGAAAGGCAGCAATATTGTAAGCAGGATCAAAACAGTATGGACAGAGGGCGTTGACATGAAGGGATGGAGGGAAAAGCAGTGTCAGCAGCAAAAGGTACCTTGACCAGAGGCAGCAGTACCTTGACAAGCGGAAGGAGGTGTTTGAGGGATGTCTGTTGCTGATCGATGGTGTGACTACCATCGTCCACTATGAAGTCAAGAAGGCCCACCTGTAACGAGTCACAACACAATAACAAGAAAGGAGGTTATACAACAACAATAAGGATGTCGACGTTACAAAAACACTGATCATAACAGGAATAACAGCAAGGACATTTTAGAAGACCAGCAGTAATCAAGTTTATACAGAGCTGGCATTGCAAGACACTGTCGAAAATTCATGCATGGCACACAGTAAAAAACACCTCATTTCCAAAAACACATTCATGATTACCCCACCTCACCCTGAACCACGCTGTACCATCCCACGTCGCTACCACTCCTCACCTCATTCTTAATATCAAAAACCGCTTTCTGCAAGAAATTCCCATTCGCCTGGTCGCCCACCATCAGCCGCACCCGCGGGTCCCTCGCCGCTGCCTGGAGCTGGGGTCACACAAACAAGGGTTCCAAACGAGAACTTTCAGGAACCAAAGAAAGAAAAAAGGCAAGAAATAAATAAATTGTGCAAACGAACAGCCACCAAGAAAACAAAAGAAAGAGTGGCCTTCCATTGCGCTGCCCAGCACTTTGACTACCAACGAATGAAACCCAACCCAGCCAGCACCAGCACTATGTAGCTGCAGCTTAGTCACATTCTCACCACCGATGAAATAAGGAGCACCCGAGCTCGCAAAGTGACAGGTACGTAAACGATGCACACACGACATTTTACAACCACAAAAAGTAACTATCCTTGGCACGGGAATGCCCGTGGTGACATTTGGGTCGACTTAAAAGTCACAGTGGACGTACCATCAAGGAGGAGGTGGTGTCATTTGCAATGCCGTAGATAACACCCCTCGGGAATGCCCGCTTCCACAGCTGCAGCGAGTCGCCGTACGCACGACCGACTGTCAGCAAGTTAACCTCCTGGTTTTCCCAGATTGGGATCCGATCGTCACCACGGGTTAGTTGCGGTCGGCGTAAGGGGTCGAGATACAGGCTGTAGAACGCGCCGTAGTGGCTCGCGCGTTTATCGGATGTGACATTGTCGAGGATTTGTTGGAAGGGAGTGATGGGCTGCAACCGGGATAGGTACATCTGCAGGAGGAAGCGGGTGGACAGTTCAAACGGGATCTTACAGGTAGTTGTAGGAGTCTCATGGAAGTTCGCAAGCGACACTACTAGCGATGCTCACATCTGAAGATTGCACAATGCGGCATCAATGCGAACACACCTATTGTTTTGACAGTCCAGATTCGCAAGGACTGTAGCAAAAGGCTTGAAAACAGACAGCGTCGTGGATATATGTAGCACGAAGGCGTGCTACCCGGAAGAGACGTGCTGAAAATGCACGAGTTTTCATGATCTAGAACTAAATTCAGACCTCTTGCTCCGCGGATGGGCCATGGCGGCAGTTTCCGATGAAGTCAAAAGCGACGTACAACCAGGGAAGCACGGAGAGGATGACTAGGAAGCTTCCCTGCGGAGCGATATTCCAGGCATTGCTACTCTTCCGCATCATGCTCACTAATGTATCAGAGTGTGGCGGTGAACGCTCGAATAGATGTGTGTATGAAGACTGCTTAGTGGGCCCTAGAAATCCTCCAAATCTGAAATACCTATTTGCGTCTACTGTTGACTCTGCATGCCTTGCTGAATAACAGTACAGTTGCAGGACAGGAGATTCTCTTGGGAGCTACATTACTGTACCTTGCTCAAGCGCGGTCTGCACCGCTACGAGCTTCCTCGGGTTTTTGAGAAAGAGAAAGTCTGCTAACGGTACTACAGCTTAACATTGTTAAATCAGAATGCTTCTCAGGAGTTGTGTCCAGAACCCTACCCAAACGCAAAGAACTGTAAACACACCGCTCTGACATAGATAGCATCTCATTCCACCATAACCAAGTGAACTCAGGGCGGTCCAGCGCGTAAAATATTCGTACATTACAGTCATCCAGTGCGGTAATCTGTATTTCGTCAAGGTTCAAAACGGTGCAATTTGATAACCGCTGTGCCCGCCTGATATCTTTTCTCACCTCGACGAATGAACTGTATAGGACCTGTAAACGTACGCGCTGGACACGCCCACTCACACAACTCTGGTTGTTGGGGTTTTTATGGGGTGGGGCGGGTCATGGGTAGTTGGCAGGACCGTGGGTGGGTTGCAGGCCAGTCGTTTCGTTTTGGCCCCCCCGGACAAATCAGGGAGCCCGTCATTTATGACCCTGTATTTAGCAGGGTTGGGGCGAATCTCGGCCCTTTAGGTTTCAAGCATGGAAAATTTTCCTCCCTTGAATCAGGTTTGGCGCGGAAAATTCTGGACTGGAGCCTCATTACAACTACCAAGCTTACAACTACGTTTGAGATGAACCACAAGCAAGCATGCACGACATATAGAAAATTAGTTAGTGTCATATCACTACGCACGCTTTGCATGCTTCCTATCCTTTGCAGAACCGATGATCTTGCGCACTTCTACCCAACCTAAACCGTCTACCCACTCCACAGAGAGCGAGTTGTGATTGGTTTAAGCACAATTTCCAGGTTGAGTTGAATTTGTGGCCCAACCAGGTTGGATGCAATCAGGCTAGAAACGAAGGGGAGAGGAGAGGGAGGAGTGTTGGGGGAGAGGGGGGCTCGAAAGATTTTGTTCCAGGGCTCGCCTAAAATCTACCCTTATCCTTCCAGGCCTAAGCCCAAAATCAGCCCTGTAAAGAATCAGGGCCAGAATATTTCCAACTCATCAATTTCAGTTTCCAAGGGCAACCCAGCCCTGGAATTCAAGGTCCAGTAGGGCAAAGCCCTGCAATCGACAGCCCTGGTGGGTTGGGATGGGATGGGCATGGGAGGGAGCGAGGGACTGGTTGTCCCTGTGCGACCTGGTGGTGGTTCGTTGTGTGACGTGTCGTGTCTGCTCTGCTGTTGTATGGATTGCGGCGGGGCAGAGTCAAGATGGTTCTCGAGATATATTCAGAACCTCGTGTCACCTGAAATACTCCTAGACACGATGCTGTACGTTTCTCCAAATGTTGCACGGCCCGATCTAGTTCCAGGAAGTGTTTCATGAATCATGACCCGAACCTCCACGTTTCTTCTTTTAGCGCTCTCTCATTCATACACTAACGAGTCCTCGTGTCCCAGAAGCAGATTTTGGATAGGGGTGAATTGAGTTGGAATTTCGACATAGTGGTTGTATTCGTTTTCACTTAGAGTTTGAAAGGTTCATTCTGGTGCGAGATGGTCAAAAGCAGTGTACTCAAAATCGCTTTCAAACGTAATTGAATGTTTTGAACCGCGTCAAACCAATCGAAAATGACGAAGTATGGCTGGCCCTCACACACACAACCCACAGAGCGAGGAGGCCATGTTATGCTGACTCAATAGTTTGACGAACGCTGGAAGAATAATGTCACGTTTCCTTGGAGTCCCTTGGGTGAGAGATTATCCTAACTGGTCCACTTTTCACCACGAGCTACGTGCCGCGACGCGTACCTTGGGGTTTTATCACACAGACGCGACTCGGACTCTAATAGTAGTAGACTTAGCGTAGACCGCGTGCTTTTGAGGCAGCGGCGATCACGGCGGTGACGGTGATGGTCAGTGTTGTCAAAGCCGCACAATGAGCTGTCAGAATCGCAAAAACCCGTGTTGTCAAGATCGTCCTACCTTGGGCGTTGCTCCCTCGGTCAACCATGAGCACCGCGCGAATGACGCCGCAACATGCGGCGCCAACGATCACGGCGCTGCTACCGCCGGCGGCGACTGTACCAGCAGCACGGTCCATCGAAGATTATTGGAAGACTCGTCAACGGATAGTCACGACTGCGTGTTAGATTCGATAAAACCGGCGCGGCCGGCAAAAGTCCCGGCAGTACCGCACTCTGAAGCCATGGCGGCAACGCAGTGGCAGTTTACTCAAGCTCCAAGCCTTTTCAATCCGGCGATGGTGTCTCAACTGCAAGATCCGCACTGGCAGGCAGTTGAATATCACTTTCACGCCGTCGTAGACGGTTTAAAGGGCTGCATATCGTCCTGCAAAGACTTGTTAAGAGACAAGCCCCTGTTCGGTGGCAGCGGCTCCTCCGCCGCATCCTTCGGCGGCGGCGGCGGCGGCGGAGGCGGCGCGAGCTCAGCGCCGTCGTCGCTGTCCGTGGCGTCGCTGCTGCACAGCCACTCGATCGTGCTGCTGCTGACGTGCGTCAGCATTCTAATGTCTGCCGTCAGCTTAGCACTCGTGCTCTCCCTTCCCCCGCCGCTTCACCAAGAAACCACTCTTAGCACCATCGATACAGAACCACTGCCGACCACGGGTAACACTGTTACAGGCAGTAACACTCTTACTGGTGGTAACGCTCATACTGCATTTCTCCCGCAAGACCTTTCCCGGGGCCCGTTACTGTTAGGATCGAGGCAATCCGGTGCGTCAGCAAATGCCGTCGTGGACGCAGGTTCCGTTAGTAGCAGCTTCGGTAATAGCAGCAATGCGCAAGTCGGTGTTACGAGCAGCAGCAGAAACGATACTACTAGTAATACCTCAAGCGGAAGCAGTATCACCGGCAGGAGCAGCAACAGCAGCGGCGGTAGCAGTAGCGGGGCCGAGGGGGGCGCCAGTGGCAGAGCCAATGCAGGAGGGATTAACGGAAACAGTCAACACCCGTCAGAGGCTTCGGCTGTAGCCGTCAGTGACAGTCAACAGCTGTCAGAGGCTTCGGCTGTAGCCGTGCTCATGGCACAACCTACTTCGCCGCATCCCCTGCAGCCAGCAGCAGCAGCGCCTGTCGGTGACACTGCGGATGTAGCAGCAACAGGAGAATCAGTAACAGTAGGAGAAGCAGGAGCAGGGGGGGAAACAGCAACAGGAGGAGAACAAGCAGCAGGGGGTGAAGCAGAAACAGCAGGAGAATTGGCAACAGGAGGAGAAACAGCAACAGGAGGAGAGGCAGCAACAGGAGGAGAAACAGCAGCAGCAGGAGAAACAGCAACAGCAACAGGTGGAGAAGAAACAGCAGCAGGTGCTGCAGGCGCAGCAGAAGCAACCTCGGCAGAAGAGGAGGCAAGCTGGGATGGTGCGCAGGCCATCGTTCATATCAAGGTGTGAGTTGATCAAATACGTGTGTGCGGGTGCGTGCACGCAAGTTCAAAGCGTGTGTGTGTGCGCGCGCGCGTGTGTGTGTGTGCTGCCCCCTCCCCAGTAACCCCACGCTCCTGTTCTCTCTCCCCAACCTTCTGTCCTACAGACGTCCGTCCTCCCTCTACCCCTGCAGCGTCTGTGCCAGGCCAGCGCCCTATCCATCCTGCACAACATCCCTCTACCCGTATCCTGTGGCACCTGCGCGTGTGCACACTCACTCTCCCCTTTCCGCATTTTTCTCCCCGAAACCCTCTGCCTACCTACAGACGTCCGTGCTGCCGTTAGCTCTACTGCGCCTGTGCCAGGCCAGCGCCCTATCCACCCTGCACAACACCCTCCCCACGCCCCAACCCCCTGCCCTACAGACGTCCGTGCTCCCTCTAGCCCTGCAACGGAGGCCAGCGCCCTATCCATCCTGCACAACATCACCATGGGTGTGCTGCAACATCACCATGGGTGTGCTGCAACATCACCATGGGTGTGCTGCAACATCACCATGGGTGTGCTGCAACATCACTGTGGCACCTGCGCCCGCCCACCCTCCCTATCCCGCCTTTCTCTCCCCTCAACCCCCCATCTACCTACAGACGTCCGTGCTCCCCTTGGCTCTGCAGCGCCTGTGCCAAGCCAGCGCCCTATCCACCCTGCACAACATCACCGTGGGGGTGCTGTGGCACCTGCGCCCACACACCCTCCCTTTTCCGTCTTCCTCTTATCCCAACCCCCTACTTACAGACGTCCGTGCTGCCTCTAGCCCTGCAACGTCTGTGCCAGGCGAGCGCCCTATCCACCCTCCACAACACCACAGTGGGTGTGCTGTGGCACCTGCGCCCGCACACACCCCCTCCTGCCTCTCGCGAAGCGGCCACAGCCACAGAAACCCCCCCGCCCTTGCCCTTCTCGGCGCTGCTGGTGCCGCCGCAGGGGGTGGCAGTGCGTGTGTCGCTGCCTGCAGGGGTGGTGGCAGAGGGGAAGCGATTGCAGGTGCAGCAGGCAGATAGGACGGAAGACTTTGGTATTGCACCGGTGAGTTTTGTTTGTTCCGAGCTGCTTTGAGCTGCACTAGGCATGGAGACGACTTTTCAATTCCGTATGTGTGGAGAGTTTGAGCTGAGTGGCTTTAAGCATCGAGAGATTGTGTAACAACTCATCGGTGTGTATGTGTGAAGAGATTGTGTTTCTTTTCACTGTAGCAGCATCATGCATTGATGTGTTGGCTGCATTCATGTGTCGCTTGCGCTGGCGTGTAACATGGTGACGTGGCATGCTGCTATTGGCTTGGCAGGTGAAGCGCAAGTGTGGGGAGAGGGAGGAGGAGGAATGGAGCCCTCTGATGCTGCCCATGGAGGTCTATGTGCCCCGCTCTCTTGCCCGCACCATGGTGAGTAAGTAGTAGCGTGAGTGGCTGTTGCATAAGGAGGAGGAGGAGCAGGAGCAGGAGCAGGAGCAGGAGCAGGAGCAGGAGGAGAGGATTAGTCTGATGCTGCTCATGGAGGTCTATGCCCCCCGCTCTCTCGCCCGCGCCATGGTGAGTAAGTAGTAGCGTGAGTGGCTGTTGCATAAGGAGGAGGAGGAGCAGGAGCAGGAGCAGGAGCAGGAGGAGAGGATTAGTCTGATGCTGCTCATGGAGGTCTATGCCCCCCGCTCTCTCGCCCATGCCGTGCCATGGTGAGTAGCAGAGGCATGATTTCTCTTTAGTCGACTCAAAAGCAGGAGGAGGCCTTTGAGTCGACTCGAAAGCAGGAGGAGTGGAGCCCTCTGATGCTGCTCATGGTGGTCTATGCCCCCTGCTCTCTTGCCCGTGCCATGGTCAGTGGTACTTGCCATCTATGTCTCGTACATAGGTCTGTGATGAGTCTATTTTTTAGTCGACTCAAGTCTGCTTTTGAGTCGATTCAAAAGCTTCTTTTGAGTCGACTCAAAAGTGGTACCTGCGATCTATGTCTCGTACGTACATAGGTCTGTGACGAGTCTATTTTTGAGTCGACTCAAAGATAGACCTACTTGAGACCTATGTTTCATACCTAGGTCTGTGTCCCCTTCTATCTTTTGAGACGTCTCAAAAGTCGTATACCTAGGTCTGTGTCCCCTTCTATCTACTCTATCCTTTGCTGTTAATCGTACTGTTAATCCTTTGCTAAAGATTTCTTTTAGACTGCTGCTCGCCTAATCATATGGCTGAAGGTCTGTGTCCCCTTCTATCTACTCTATCCCACTTCCCTGTATTCCTCTGTGCGTCACTCTCTTTCTCTCTCCCGCTCCTCCCTCTATCCCTCCCTCTTCCCAAGGCATGGCTGTACGACGAGACCATGAGGTGCTATCTGTCGCTGCACCCATCAGCTGCAGTGCCCTCTGTGCGTTCCTCTCTCCTTCCTCTCCCCACCCTCTCTCCCTCCAGGCATCCACTGGCCCATGTCGGCAGTACGACAAGACCATGAGGTGCTGTCAGTCGCTGCAGCCATCAGCAGCAGTGCCCTTACTCTCCACCCAATCCCACCTCCCTCTGTCCCACTCTCCCTCCATCCCTCTCTCCCTCCAGGCATTCACCGGCCCTTGCCGGCTGTATAACGAGACCATGAGGTGCTATCAGTCGCTACAGCAGAACCACTAAGCTCCCCTCTATCCCCTTCGCCCTCTCTCCTTCCTCTCCCCACCCTCTCTCCCTCCAGGCATCCACTGGTCCATGCCGGCTGTACGACGAGACCATGAGGTGCTATCAGGCGCTGCAGCCGTCAGCAGCGGTGCAAGCGATGGTGGATGGAGAGGATGTGGGGCGAGTGAGGGGCACAACGGGAGTGCTGCTGGAGGTGAGTCTGCTGGGGTGGGGGTGAGGGAGGAGAATGGTGGCACGTGGTATGGCACAAGCACACGTAGCTGCTGCAGCCGGCAGCAGCAGTGCAGGGGATGGTGGATGGGGAGGATGTGGGGCGAGTGAGGGGCACAACGGGAGTGCTGCTGGAGGTGACGGAGGGGTAGGGCATGGGGGGGTGGTGGGGCATGGAGGGAAATGGTGTTGATGGTCGGGCATGGTATGGATGGTGGTACAAGGAGGGGAATGGATGGTGGTACAAGGAGGAGAATGGATGGTGGTACAAGGGGGAAATGACAGCACATGGTGAGGATAGAGGATGGGGAGGATGTGGGTCGAGTGAGAATCTCTCCACATGATTTTTGGGGCACCTCAGCCATTTTGGAGGCACCTCATCGATTTTTGAGGCGCCTCAAAGGCGGGGAGTATGTGGGTCGAGTGAGAATCCCCCCACATGCCTCATCCACAATCTCCGTCTTCCTCCTCCACCATTCCCCCATCTGAGTTACATCCTCCTCCCACACAACCCCCCCCCCCCCCCCCCCCATCAGGACCCCAAGGCTTCTGGAGCCACCGCTGCTGCCTCATCTGCAATCTCACTACCCTCTTCCTCCCTGCTCCCTCTCCTATCTCCCTCCCACTTCCCGGGCCCCCATACACTTCCCATCAGGACCCCAAGACTTCTGGAGCCGCCTCCGCCCCTCCCTGCCCCAACGCCAAGCTCCTCCCCACGTGCCTCATCCGCAATCTTACCTCCCTCATCCTCCGCCACCCCGCCCTCGACTTCACTCTCGCCGCCGCCTCCCCTCCCCTGCCCTCCCTCCCCTGCCCTCCCTCCCCTGCCCCCCCTCCCCTGCCCCCCCTCCCCTGTCCCCCCCTCCCCTGCCCGGCCCCATCAGGACCCCAAACAATCTGGAGCCACGGGTGCTGCCGCATCATGCCCCACCGCCAAGCTCCTCCCCACGTGCCTCCCTGCCTCCTTCTCTGCTCCCTTCCCTCTCTCCCCTCCGTTTCCTCTCGTATTCCTCACTTCAGGACCCCAAGGTTTCAGGAGCCACTGCTGCTGCTGCATCATGTCCCAACGCCAAGCTCCTCCCCACGTGCCTCATCCGCAATCTCACCTCCCTCTTCCTCCGCCACCCTGCCCTCGACTTCACTCTCGCCGCCGCCTCCCCTCCCCTGCCCGCCCGCTCCGTCGCCTCCGCCTTCCACCCCAACCGCGCCCCCCTGCTGCCCCTCGCTGCTGCATGGCGGGCGGAGCACTGTGGGGACGGAGGGAGTGCGGACATTGCCACAGCTTGCTACCAACGACTGGTAAGGCCCTTCCTCCATTCCACCCCAACCGCGCCCCCCACTGCTGCATGGCTGGGGGAGCAATGCAGGGAAGGAGGGAGTGCGGACACTGCCACACCTTGCTACCAACAACTGGTAAGCGCCTGCCTCCAGGCTTCACTCTACTAGCCGCCTCTAGGCTTCTCTCTCTCTCTACTAGCCGCCGCCTCCTCTCTCCTGCAAGCCCGCTCTGTCACCTCCGCCTTCCACCCCAACGGCGCCCCCCTGCTGCCCCACACCGCTGAATGGCGGGCAGAGCACTGTGGGGACAGAGGGAGTGCGGATATCACCACAGCTTGCTACCAACGACTGGTAAGCGCCTGCCTCCAGGCTTCTGTCCACCCCAACCGCGCCCCCCGTCTGCCCTACTCCGCTGCATGGCGGGTGGAACACTGCAGGGAAGGAGCAGGAGTACTCAAGCTTTCCCTCCCCTCCCATTCCTTGCCCCCTTCCCCCCCACCCCTCTAACTCCTCCCAGCTAGCAGAGCTTTTTCTGCTTGCAGACGCCCCTTCCCTCATCTTCACTCACAAGTCGCCCGCCTTCTCATTCGTTGTGGCGCGCGGGTCAACACGGCAATCCCAAGGTTAAGCAGAGGCACTCAAGCTCTCCCTCCTTCCTCTCCTTCCTTGCCCCCTTCCCCCCCACCGCAACCCCATCCAGCTAGCAGAGCTTTTTCTGCTTGCAGACGCCCCTTCCCTCATCTTCACTCACAAGTCGCCCGCCTTCTCATTCGTTGTGGCGCGCGGGTCAACACGGCAATCCCAAGGTTAAGCAGAGGCACTCAAGCTCTCCCTCCTTCCTCTCCTTCCTTGCCCCCTTCCCCCCCACCGCAACCCCATCCAGCTAGCAGAGCTTTTTCTGCTTGGAGACGCCCCTTCCCTCATCTTCACTCACAAGTCGCCCGCCTTCTCATTCGTTATGGCGCGCGGGTCAACACGGCAATCCCAAGGTTAAGCAGAGGCACTCAAGCTCTCCCTCCTTCCTCTCCTTCCTTGCCCCCTTCCCCCCCACCGCAACCCCATCCAGCTAGCAGAGCTTTTTCTGCTTGCAGACGCCCCTTCCCTCATCTTCACTCACAAGTCGCCCGCCTTCTCATTCGTTGTGGCGCGCGGGTCAACACGGCAATCCCGAGGGCTTGAGGGGGCGTTCAGAGTGGTGCAGCCGGCGCTGTGTGCTGCTGCGTGCCCCAAACCGCTGCTGGAGAATAAATTCGCCCAACACATGATCGTAGATGGTGAGTGGACTTTTGAGTCGACTCAAAAGGCAATCCTGAGCGCTAGGGGAGGCATTCAGAGTGGTGCAGCCGGCGCTGTGTGCCTCTGCGTGCCCCAAACCGCTACTGGAAAATAAATTCGCCCAACACATGATCGTAGATGGTGGGTGCAAGGGGAGTGGATGGGGAGTGTATGCGTTGGGGTGCTTGAGAGTAGGAGGCGGTCGATTCGTCAGACGCATGAGCGCCGGTCAACACGGCAATCCCGAGGGCTGCAGGGGGCATTCCGCGTGGTGCAGCCGGCGCTGTGTGCCTCTGCGTGCCCCAAACCGCTGCTGGAGAATAAATTCGCCCAACACATGATCGTGGATGGTGAGTGCATGGGGAGTGGACTGTTGAGTGGACGTTTGAGTCGACTCGAACGGCAATCTCAAGGGCCAGGGGAGGCGTTCAGAGTGGTGCAGCCGGCGCTGTGTGCCTCAGCGTGCCCCAAACCGCTGCTGGAGAATAAATTCGCCCAACACATGATCGTAGATGGTGGGTGCATGGGGAATAAGTGAGGGGAGTGAGGGGAGTGAGGGGACTGTGTGTGTTGGGGTGCTGGGAGAGTAGGCGCTCGATTCGTGAGATGCATGAGCGCAGGCAGGTCAGTGCGGCAATCCCGAGGGCTCCAAGGGGCGTTCAGAGTGGTGCAGCCATCGCTGTGTGCTGCTGCGTGCCCAGAACCGCTCTTGGAGAATAAATTCGCCCAACACATGATTGTGGATGGTGAGTTGACTTTTGAGTCGACTCAAAAGTCAACTGAGTGGATGGTGAATGGATGGTGAATGGATGGTGAATGGATGGTGAATGGGTGGTGGGTGGATGGTGGGTGGATGGGGAGTGAACTGTTAACGTGCCCTGCAATGCCCTGGACTGCCCTCGAATGCCCTCTAGTCATCCCCCCACCCCCCTTCTCTAAACCTCTCTAACATCTGCTCTGATGAAAAAACTTGATTCTTGAATCAGATCCTCCTCTTTCTGTCCTCCTCCTCTTCCGCCCCACCCCCTCCTCCTCTCCTTTCCCCCGCAGAGTCCCTCAAGGCCCTCTGCTGCGCGCTGCCCAAGGTGGGCAACACAAGTCATGACTTGGACCCTCCTCTTCCTGTCCACATCCCCCTCCCCCTCCCCCTCCCCCTCCCCCCCTCCTCCCCAGAGTCCCTCAAGGCCCTGTACTGCGCGCTGCCCAAGGTGGGCAACACAAGTCATGACTTGGACCCTCCTCTTCCTGTCCACATCCCCCTCCCCCTCCCCCTCCCCCTCCCCCCCTCCATCCGCCAGAGTCCCTCAAGGCCCTGTACTGCGCGCTGCCCAAGGTGGGCAACACGAGCTGGAAGCATCATGAAAAAGGCCCTCATATCTTGCCTTTGCACTCCCTCCTCTCGTCCCCCCCCTCCAGAGTCCCACGAGCGGGAAGCATCATGAAAACCGCATTCAGCTCTTCATCTCCTCCTCGCTCTGCCCCCTTCTCCCCACTCCCAGAGTCCCTCAAGGTGCTCTACTGCGCGCTCCCCAAGGTGGGCAACACAAGCTGGAAGCTCTGGTTCCGCCTCATGAAGCTTCGTGGAAACTACTCCGAGTTTCACTCTTTCAACAAGACCAGCTCTGACAACAACGCGGGTTCTTCTGCGAATGGGACGGCCGCAGCAGATGCTGGGGTTGGGGGAACAGCAGCAGCAGAAGGGACAGCAGCACCAACAGCAGCAGCAGCAGCGTCAGAGCCAGCAGCAATAAACATAACGACCGAGGATTTCAAGATGATTCACCTGCGTGGGCTGAACGGACTGACGGAACTCCCAGATTTCCACGAGGAAGCGGCCATCCGTTTCATCACGCGGCGGGACGTGTTCCGATTCACGTTCGTGCGCAACCCTCTCACGCGCGCCACGTCAGCGTTCCTCGACAAGTTTGTGCACGCGCGAAATTTCACGAATGAGGGCGATGCACGGCTATATTGGGCGGACGCCATGTTTGGGCAGACCAAGCTGCTCAAGAAGATGTTAAAAGAGCACCCCACGGGTGAATTCTCGTTTGCGGAGTATCTGGTTCTTGTGGAGGAGGCTCTTAAGGGGGATGCTGATAAGATCGAGAATCACATTGACAAGCAGGTAAGGCCCTTGGGTGGGGGGAGAGGGGAGGTGGGGGGTGGTGTGATAGATGGTGATGCATAGCGTTCCTGGACAAGTTTGTGCACGCGCGGAACTTCACCAACGAGGGCGATGCACGGCTGTACTGGGCGGACGCCATGTTTGGGCAGACCAAGCTGCTTGGGAAGATGCTTAAGAACCCCACGGGTGAATTCTCGTTTGCCGAGTTTCTGGTTCTTGTGGAGGAGGCTCTTAAGGGGGATGCGGATACGATCGAGAATCACATTGACAAGCAGGTGAGGATGCTGGGTTGCTTTGAGGCTGATGGGTGGTTGTGATAGATGGTGATGCTTGGTGGGTGTTTGCTAGTCATGAATGGAACACGGCTAACATGTTTCATGGGCCATCCCAATCCGTCCCACTGAATCCAGCTTCAGCTACTCACCCAGTCACTCCCCTCTCCTTCAACCCCCACAGGTCGACCTCAGTGCTTTGGATCGCTTCATTCCCCCTCAATTCCTGCATGAATCTTTCCCTCTCGAATCCAGCTCGTTTCTCCTTATCTCTCCTGATTCCCTCTCCTGCTTCCCTGCAGATCGACCTCTGTGTGTTGAATCGCGTGCACTACGGCTTTGCGGGTTGCTTTATCGATCCCTGCTGAAGTTTTCCTTTCTAGATTCCTCCAAGTATCTCTTCATCGCAGCTCGTTCCCTGCTTCCTCACCCCTCCAGATCGACCTCTGTGCGTTGGATCGCGTGCATTACGACTTTGTGGGTCGCTTCGAGAACATGTCTGCTGACGTGGCAGCAGTGATGCGTCAGCTCAACACGTCAGATCTTGGGATCTTCCAGAAGGGCAAGTCCCTCCAGCTCACAGGCGCGGACCAGCGTTCGGCACAGTTGTACGATAAGGTGAGTGCTCAGTGTTGCCATTCCCATTTGATGAGGTGAGTGCTCCGTACAGCCTTCTGCTATAAGGTGAGCCTTGGGATTGTCCAGCAGAAGGGCAAGTTCCTCTCCAGCTCACAGGCGCGGACCAGCGTTCCGCGCAGTTGTACGATAAGTTGAGTGCTCTGTGCTGCCTTTCCCATTTGATAAGGTGGGTGCTGTGTGTTGCTAAGTGCTTTCTTCCAATCAGATAACCCGAGTGCGTTGGTCAGTCTGCATCGCTCGTAACACGACAGCGTGGATACTAACTGGTTCGGTTTCGTCAATTCCATTCATATTCTCTCAAAATGTTCTTGTTGCCTCCCCTTCCCTCCATCGGATTCGACGGTCCAGGACTCATTGGAGCGGGCGAATCGGATTTACAGCGACGACATGAGCATTCCCTTCAACGCCATTCGCTACGACATTCCCGAGGCCCTCAAGCAGGTGGCCGCTCGGGAAAACGACACGCAAACACCGGCAACTGCAACCTCTAGAAAACTCCGAATTCTCGAGTCTCCGCGTTGAACGCCATTCGCCACGACATCCCCGAGGCCGTCAGGCGGTTCGGTGCTCAAACTGACGCGCCAACAGCCACGACCACTAGATAACGTCGAGGGACCGAGCGACATTCCGGTATCAACGCGACCCGAGGCTCTCAACTCAGGAGCACGGTGCGCTTGGCTGGACTGACTGACTCGTTCGGACAAGCCACAAAGCACTGCTGATAAGGGCGAAGTCAGGTTAAACGATTCTCACGCGTTTACAGTTCTTGTTTTGTGGTTCAGGATGGTCCAGCACGGTGAAAAGCGGTTCTCGCCTTGTACCGCTCTGCACCGTGTTGAAACAAAGTTAAACGCTGTAGGCGTACAAAAGGTTGTACAACCTGACGTCGCCCTAACCCGGACAACTCCTAGGTGATACCAGAAAATACCAAACCGATACAGGGCCATTCGCCACTGCTTTGTGATGCCCAACGTTGATCAATGTACAAAATTTTGCCATGGACACACAAATGTTTCCATCTTTTTAAAATGAGGGTCTATATTTGACAAGCGGGGGTTCAGAAGTTTTTGTTTTGAACCAGGCTTGCCAGCGCGAAAGTGTTGGCTAACGAAATCCTGGATTTCGTGCGGACACTTTTCCTCTGCAGTAGCAGTTCGCCAGCGTTTTGGGTTTCGGGTGGCAAATGTGCACCGTCGCTCTAATATGTTGGAGCCCAGCATGTTCACCCACCACTGACTTGGCATTCTCTCCGCTTGAAATCTGTAATGGGGCGTTTTCATCTACCCTTATCACTTACGTAATGCACACTGCTTTTGGAGGGTCTCTACAGAAACTGGGGTTTCAAATTTCATGCCGGTCGGTGCTTGAAAAAATCAGCCTCACAAATGCTGCACTGGTCTCATTCACAAAGGAGCTTTGGCAACTCCAGGATTTCTGGAGCCCTCCAAGCCTCGTACTGCCGAACCATTTCATACAAGCCAAACTTAGCCTCTACATAGCTCCACCCCTACACAATCATAATTCCCCCTGCAGGCTCTACATAGCCTGAGCCCGTGCCAGCACCTGCAGCTTCAGCAGGCCCCGTGCCTCAAACCGCCAAACCATCTCATATCATAGACCCATCTTGGCCACTATCTGGCAAAAGAGTCAGAGCCTCTCCCAACCACTCATTACTGTCACACTCACAAATCGCCCTGCAGGCACTCCTGTAGAGCCTGGGCCCGTGCCTCGTACCGCCGAGCCATCTCATATGACAAGCCCACCTTAACCGCTATTTGCCGAAGGGTTAAGACAACCCCCATCTCCTCAGCAGAATCACTATCACAAATCCCCCTGAAGACTCTCCTGCAGCGCCTGGGCTCGTGCCGGCACCTGCAGCTTCAGCAGGCCCCGTGCCTCGTATCGCCGAACCATCTCATATGACAGACCCATCTTGGCCGCTATCTGCCGAAGGGTTAAGACCTCCCCCACGCCCTCGCCGTCCTTGCCGCCCAGCCCGAAGCGCCACCTCAGCACGGTGGCCTCGTGTGCGTGTAGCGTGTCAAGCTGCGAGTGCAGGGGAAGGTAATCAATCGGGGAAGAGGAATGAAAGCTTAGATTAGCAGAGGCAGATGGAAGAAAGAGAACAGAGTGCCCACGAAAGACCATCACCTCAGCACAGTGGCAGTGTGTGTGTGTGTATCGTGCCATGCTCTCACATGTGATCACGTATGCTCTCACATGTGACCACGCATGCTCTCACATGTGATCACGCATGCTCTCACATGTGATCACGCATGCTCTCACATGTGATCACGCATGCTCTCACATGTGACCACGTATGCTCTCACATGTGATCACGCATGCTCTCACATGTGATCACGTATGCTCTCACATGTGATCACGTATGCTCTCACATGTGACCACGCATGCTCTCACATGTGACCACGTATGCTCTCACATGTGATCACGCATGCTCTCACATGTGACCACGTATGCTCTCACATGTGATCACGCATGCTCTCACATGTGATCACGTATGCTCTCACATGTGACCACGCATGCTCTCACATGTGATCACGCATGCTCTCACATGTGATCACGCATGCTCTCACATGTGACCACGCATGCTCTCACATGGCTTTATGTTGGCTCTTCTCATATGCTAGCTCGGAACCAAGCTGCAATTTCCAAACCCCAACACCACTGCCACCACCGCTTACCTCATCCCACGCCCTATCACTCCCACCTTTCCACACTGCTACCCTACCACCACTGCTTACCGCGGCAACAAGGGCTGCTCGTGTGTGCCCCAGTGCGCCTCCCTGCACACTCATGCTGCTTTCCCGAAGCTGCCAATACCTGGAAAGCCATAAATCCCACAGCCCATCCCACCAACACAACTGCGTACCACGGCAACAAGGGCTGCCCGTGTGTGCCCCAGTGCGCCTCCCTGTGCACTCATGCTGCTCCCCACACCGCCATCACCACTGGCACCACCAACAGCAGCAGTTGCAGCGGTTGCAGGAGCACCAGCAGCACCAACACCAGCAGCAGTTGCAGCAGCAGTTGATGCAGAAAGAGCAGCACTGGTAGTGGCAGGGCCTGTGGCAACCAAGCCACCCTCACCACCATCCGTACTCGCTATAGTGTCCTCCAGTGCAAGCCCTGTGACCCGCGACGCGGCGTGCAGGGAGACGGGGCGCGTGACGAGAGGGGCGGCAAGGGCGGCACGGCACTGGGCGGCAGAGAGGCCGGCCTCTGCTGCCACCTCTGCTACAGTGGCCTTACGGCCTAGTCGGTTCTCCACTGCTGCTCTTGCCTTGCGCACTGAAATGAGGGTCTGCGGATGGGGGGAAAGTTGAATGGGGGGAAAGAGAGAAGGAGGGGACGGGGGGGGGGACAGGGGGAGGAATTTAAAGAGGCGATTCAAGACAACGTACCTTGAGAGGAATGGGGGAAACTGTGAGGAATAGAAGCAAGTTGAGAGATTGTCGAGACATGATATGCACGAGCAAGGCACAAAGTGCTTCTGCCTCCCTATACTCCACTGCTGCTGTTGCCTTGCGCACGCTCACACCCTCACACCCTCATGACTCACACCCTCGCACCCACACGCAATCACACTCACACCCCCACACCCTCGCACCCCCACACCCTCGCACCCCCACACCCTCACACCCTCAAGCACTCACCATGGAGATCCTAGCAGGCGGGCGGACATCACATCTGAGAATTTTCAAAAGTGATTTCCATATAGCTGACTCACACCCTCAAGCACTCACACCCTCAAGCAATCACCATGGAGCTCCTAGCAGGCATGTGGACGAACTGAGTTGAAGGAATGGCGCGGATTATCGCTGTCCTGACAGCATGCGTGGCGAAGGTGGAGAAGCGCAGGTGCCTGGCAGGGTCAGCGCAGCCAGTCTCCACTTCTGAGACGTCTCAAAAGTCGCCTGGCGGGGTCAACGCAGCCAGTCTCCACTGCAATACCCTTACAGCACCCTCGGAACACCCCACAACCCTAAACCCGAAACCCTGAGCTCCTAGCGGGCATGCGGACAAACTGCGTCGACGGTATTGCACGAATGATGGCCGTGCGGACAGACGCACACTCACAACACGCTCACACTCTCACGCACTTACCATGGAGCTCCTAGCAGGCATGCGCACGAACTGAGTGGAGGGAATAGCACGTATGATTGCTGTGCGGACAGCGTGGGTGGCAAAGGTGGAGAAGCGCAGCTTCCTGGCGGGATCAAAGCGGCGGGCAGCTGTGGTGAGACCCTCGAGGCCGCGCTGACAGATGGCGACGAAATCGGCTCCCGTGGAGAGGCGGAACGATTGAGCGATGGATAGCACGAGGCGAAGGTTGTGCTGCAACAGGTGAGGAATAGGCAAAAGGGGAGGGGGGAAGGAAGGAAGGGGGGCCGGGAGGGGGGAAGAGAAGGGGAGAGGAGTGGGGGAAGGGGGACGTCTGGTGCGAGAAAGCCAGCAGGGAACTGAAGCCGTGGTGTGGTGAGGCCCTCAAGAGCACGCTGGCAAACAGTAATAAAGTCGGCTCCAGTGGAGAAGCGGAAGGAGTGGGCTACTGAAAGCACGAGATGCAGGTTTTGCTGCGAGTGGAGGCAGAAGGCATGAAGGGGATAGGAGGAAACGAACAGGAATGTGGGGCAGTGGTGAGGTTAGGCCCTCTAAGCCACTCTGGCAGACAATGATGAAGTTGGCTCTGGTGGAGAGGTGAAAGGAGTGGGCTATGGAGTGCATGAAATGCAGGTCGTTGTCGTTTTGATGGATTGTAAACGTGGGGTGAGCGAAAGAGAAGAAACACGGGAAGAAGGTTGAAGGGAAGGCACCGGCAGGAAAGAGGGGAAGAGGGTGGGTGGGAGGGAAGGAACAGAGAAATCAGGGGAAGTGGGTGAGAGAAAACACCAGACCATTCTCTCTGCATTCACTATCACCACTCTACTAAACCCACCAGCACCATTCTCCACCAAACATTCCCACTCTGCACTCACCAGAACGAGCTTGGTTCGGGCAGCCTGAGCGGCGAACAGTTGTCGGTGCAGCTGCTTGGGAGTCAGATTGCAAAGCACTGCCCATTCCGCATGCGACAGCACATGCCGCTGCTGTTGCTGCTGCTGCACATGCTGCTGTTGTTCCGATTGTGCGATGCTCGCATCAGCTTCTCCATATCCGTCTGCTTCCCCATCCCCACGCGCATCTGCGAAGCCCTCAGCAACCTCACGAGTTGCATTAACTTCACGACCAGATGAGGCTGTTGCTGCTGCTACGGCTGCCGAGCCTGACGGCTTAGCAGTGGCTGCAGCAATCTTAGCTCGCTCCTCCAGTTCCTGGAAAGAGGATACGTGAGAATTGGTGAACGAGAAAAGAGGTTTTGTGACGTCTTGATGCGAATAAATACACTGGACGGAAGGAAACATAGAGGTGGAGCGATAACTATGGCTGCTATAGGGAGCGCAGGGAGGCAAAGGATGGCAATTGGGGAGCAATAATTGGATGCAATAGAGCTTTATTACTATAATGTGTTCTAGGAGGGTGCTGAGGCTGTGGATGCCTAGCATGTGAAAAGCTAAGTGCAATGGCGTGGTTAGTACCTCAATCTGTCACTCAAGATGCCCCAATCACAGCTAGATGCCCCAATCACAGCTAGATGCCCCAATCACAGCTAGATGCCCCAATCACAGCTAGATGCCCCAATCACAGCTAGTCGACGCACTACCTTGATCCCCCTCATCGCCCAATACTCACACCCACCACTCACACCCACCACTCACACCCACCACTCACATTCCCGCGCTGTATCAGTTCGGCCAATCGTAGCTCCTCTTTCGCCGGCAGTAACGAGCGCGGCTGCGTCCAATCAACGTTCATCGCTGTTTCACCCCCGCCATAGTCACGAATCAGCGCATCCACCTCCTCCTCGCTCATCGTGATCCCCTCAGCCGCTCCCCCGCCCGCGGAACCTCTTCTCGCTCCGCCACTTCCTTTAACGCGCGGGGAAGCTGAAGCGGCTTCCGCCTCCGCTTCCGATTCCACTTCCGCTTCCGCCTGCCAATCTTCAGCCATTCCCAGCGCGTTTCCGCTCATCCGCAAGCCCATTGCGAGCGCGGCTGCGCGCAACCTCCTCCGCATCGCCCGCCTCCGCGCTGCAGGATCCATTTCCGCCACGGTTCCGCCCACATCGGTTTCCACCTCCGCCACCACCCCTGTTGGCAGCTTCGTCGCAGAAGCGGACAAAAACCGCTGTCCCTTGACAAGTTTCCGCCTGGCGACGCGCCCGGCATCGCTGGGGCTGAGATTCCACGCGGCCTCGAGCTGCTCGCGCACTTCCCGCGTGACTTCTAACCGCGCCGCGTCGCCGTCATGATCGTTGTCAGAGCTCTTCGAAGCCTGCGACGACGACGACGAAGATGACGACGCAAAATCAGCGTCATCTAGTCGCACGAGGAACGCTGCGACCTCTGCGACGAGCGACAGACCCGTCGCAGAGGGGTCGAGCTTCATGAAGGGAGCACCAGCAGCAGTGTCATAAGGATTAGAAGCGTTATCTACCTGCTGGTTTGATAAGCGTTTAAGCAAATCTTCATCGGTTAAGGCCAATTCGTCTGGGTTCGAACCGGTCCTGCGCTTTCTCTGCCTTCTCGTTCTCTTCTCCCCGGAACCTGCAGCTGCTGCGGTACTGATGCTCGTCGCCGGCGGCGACTCGAGTGATACGGCCACGGCGACCGGCGATGTGGCCACAGTCCGCTTGGCGGAAGAGAGCGTTCGAGAGTGAATTTTCTCAAGGAAACCATGATCATGATGGTTCTTGGAATTCCTTTTCAGAGAGTTTCGTGACGTCTCAAAACTAAGCGAATTTCTGTGGCCGACTCTAAATCCGCCAGGTTTCCCGCCGCTGATCAAGGACAGGCTGTGATTTATTGCTACTCGGTGATGACGTGGCCGCGAGGGTGTGAGAGCGGAGGAACAGACGATTGGGGAGCTCGACGCGACATGCGCCGCCATGAGGGAAGTTTCGAAGAATCTTACAAGAGATGCAAACCGAAATTTGAGTCGGCAATGTCTGGTGCTGGAGCAGGTCTAGACTCCACTAGAATACTTCATAAGTGAAATCTCATATGGCCGAAGGCACAAGCGGGAAACAGCTTCTGCAGTGAATGCTGCTTGTGCTCATGTGTGGTCGAGAAACTCAGTGATAGCAGCAGCTTATCTCTGACGAACAGCAGAATGAGAGTGTCAGGAAGGTGACGGAGCGTCAGAAACGGTACGCAACGTTGTAAAAGAAATTACCTTCGGTTCTATGAGATGTCAAACTTCTGCTCCAGCCATTCTATTCACATTCAGCGTTTACTTGAGAGAAGTTGGAGAGATTAGGCGTCAGGCTCTTGGGGGAGAACGACGTATTGCCCGTCGCAGATTGGTGGACCTGCGTCCGCGCTGCGGTGGTGGCATTCTCGAAAAGCTCGAGGCGGCGTGGCGAAAAGCCCGATGGACACGCAAGCAGAACGATGCAGAGTGCGGTTGAGCTGACCTGGGAATGACGAGGCACGTGGAGCGGATTGGATGGAAGCAATTTTGGTTGTGTGGCGCGAAGAGTCTTCGAGAATGTCGAGGACAACTCCAGCCAATCGAAGCGCGTCGCTTCGAACATGTACCTCAACCACGCCAATGTGACGAACAGGAAGGAGTGACTGCAAAAGCTCGTTCTACCAACTAAGCATTTTTTTCGGAAATGTTACATGGCAACGAAGCAAACTATGCGAAATTGGCCAGAACCTGAATAAAGAATTTCAAATAAGAGTAATGACAACAATCCTGCTATACCCAGCAAGCTATGGTCCAGTCCCCAAGAAGGGAACTTCCTAGCATAAGCACTAATCCCCGTCATGCGGCAAGCTATCCTCTCCTTCGATTCCACCCTTAATAAAAACCCATTTCATTCCTGCTACTCCGTTGGCAGGCCACTCACACCCTCTTCCTCCAATCCCATCTTCTCAAGAGCATCCAACAGCCCCTTGCTAAGAGGCCGCTCTCTTACAATCCCCCTTCCTCCTCCCTCCTTCCCCTTCACAGCCCCCTCTCCCTCCTCCGCCTCCTCATCCTCATCGTCGGACCTTCTCAGCGCCCACCCGCCCCTCCGCCTGCTCCCAGGCGTTCCAACATTTACTTGCGTGGACCAAGGCGGAGACTCCCCACCACTTCTTGACTGGCGTTGACTTGCAGGTGTGCGTAACGGAGTGCTGACAGCACTGCCAGCGCCGATACTACCAGCAACGGCTGGGATCTCATCCTGATAGCGAGAAACTGGCGGCGCACCGTGGTCGGGGGCTGGGGAGGAGAGCGCCCGCGGGCTGCGCGCCCGGCGCATGGGGGAGGGGGAACGGGGGCGCAGGACGCGCGGCCCTCCCGTTCCAGCGGCGGCGGAGTTTGGCGCGCGACGGCTTGCGGGGGGGATCCCCGCGGGGAGCGCGGGGGAAGAGAGCTGGGAGGCGAGTGAGGAACGCAGCCGGCGGGTTGTGGTTGCAGAGCCGCCTTCATCAGCGGCATCGTAATGACGTTGCTGTGAGCCACGATGCTGCTGCAGGGACCAGGACACAGGAGATTAGCAAGGACGAACGGTCAGATTGGATAACAAGAAATCGACTGGAAACAGGGGAACTTTGAGATTGCGCTGATCTACTTCAATCGTGTTTAACCCCATACTCTCTCACCTCGCGAATAGCGTTAATAGCAGCTAGCAGTCCCGCGGGGTCCTTCCCCAGCACAGCGCCGATCTTTCCGCCAACCTGCCACTTGGCGCGGCTCCGCCTCCCCGTTCCACCTTCCGCCAATACCCCTCCCGCGGATCCCACCACACCGCCGATCGACGACGTGGAGCGGGGAATGGGAGACCTAGCGCGCGGGATGGGGGAAGTGGCGCAACGGACGAGTGCGGGAGCAGGAGCGGGTGCTTCCTCGGGGGAGTTGTGCGGCGTGGGCGCGGCGTAGAGGCTCAGCGATGACGTCAGCGTCGCCGAGCCCTTAACGGCGGACATGACGGTAGGCGAAGCAAGAACGGCCGCTCTGCGACGACGGAGAGGAGCCACGGCCTGCGGAGTAAGGTCGCACGGGTCGCACAGGTCGAGGTGTGCGAAATCTTCGCCGCTGCCGCCGTCGTCGCCAGCGACATCTCCATACGTCGCAGAGATCGGTTCTTGGATGCTGAAGCAGCGCTGTATGTTGTGCTGCCTCGTCAGCGTCGCCTGGCTGCACGGCGATGTGACGCCATTCCAATTTGGCGTGCTGCTCTGCCTCGTCAGCTTCGACCGGCTCTTCGCGACAATCTCGGGGGTCTCCTCTTGGCACGGCGTTGAGAGAAGCAGCTTTGACACCTCGCTCCGAAGAGCTTCAGCGCCGTCATCATGTGCTCCATCGCCGGATTCGACCAGTCGCGATCCTTTAGAAGTCAAAGGTGCAGGAGTGCACGGATCAGCAGGCACGACGGGTGGCTTCGTAGGAAGCACAGCCGCATTTAACGGAGAAGCCTGAGTAGGCTTGCTGGAGGCAGTGAGCTCGGCTGACGTGTCGTTGGTGACGTCAGATAGAGCAGGTCGCGGTCGAGGATTTCTCGCAGGCTGTCGCTTAGAAGTTGTTGGCTTTCGCTGCGTTGGCATGGGTGTCGTCGTTCCTGCAGTAAATAAGAGTACATATTAGGTTTGCGAATTCGGAATACGGAATTTTACATAAACAGAGAGCGGAAGGAACAGAAGGGAAGGCGAAAAAATGAAACTGGAAGCGGCCAGCAGGTGCTGCTAACCTGGCGGGACGGGACTGGAGAACAACTGAGCTCGGGCCCTGCTGCGAGTACGCACGCCCAGTACGGGTGTATCCACGGCCATCGCAGTTAAAATACTTTATGATGAATCTGTTTTGTGAGCGTCGCGAGAAATTTTCTTGTTAGTAACGGACTCAGTCGTAGCGCTGACAAAGTTAGGAGATTTCCTTACTAACCTTAAAACTACCGTTAACGAAAATTTTCTAGAGCCAAAACGAGCAAGTACTACTAGGCAACTACCAGAATGAAGAACAAGGCAAGGGCTAAGGTCTGAATGAGCTAGCGCGAGTTATCGTACTCAAGCAGGTAGTCTAGTCGCAAGGCCAAGATTTGGCTGCTATCGAATTCTGAAGCAGGCTATTGCAAGTGAAAGGCTGGGTGGGAAAGTAAAGAGCAGACAGGCAGCAGCACCCAAGCGTGGAACGGACAACGACGAATTCTACTCATGCTCCAATGACCGTTCGATTGTGAGCGTGAATGGTGGGATCAAATTTTCTGACGGCCACGATGAGTTGCTTCTGTTCATGGGTGAAGGGAAAGACCTCTCTGATGGTTTGTCTTGCCGCCATGCCGTTTGAATTTGAAGCGAAAAGCGAAATCCTTCCCCGCCGCGCGCGCTGTGACTGGAACTGCAAACGGCTCGGACCAAGAACTTAGGGCGCGTGAGGTCTTTGAAATTTGTAAAAGTTTATGTTTTTAGGGCGAAATTTAGTTTCGAACTTACAAAGAAGTTCTAATTTCCTTCTAAGTTCGAACATCGGGCTTACCACACTGTAAAAAATCACACACACATACAAGGTCGAACCCCGACATTCGAACTTGTAAAAACGAGCCGAGCCGCACGTCAACATCATAGGTTACCCGGTTCGCTCGTCTTGACGGTGCGCCACGTCAACATTTTGCGCCTCGGTTTACAAGGACCTAGAGCTCCAACTCACCTTCCGCTCCGAGTGTGTAGGAAAACTATATTCCAGGTCCATACTTTCAGATTTCTCTCAAATTTAGCCACGGGTTGACTCAAAAAGTACTACTTTCTAGAATTTCGCTCACGCGAGGCCCAAAGTATGTTCAAAACTGGTCCAGCGGGGCGAAGTTTTCGACACGTGTCCAATTTCGCTTTGAAAAAAAATCGACGGGGCAAAAAATAATAAAACCCCTCGGGACCTAGGGCACATTTGCGGGAGGGATCAACCCTAAACACCAAGCGGGTCCCCGTGTTTAGGGTTGGTCCCTCCCGAACGTGTGTCCTGGTTCCCCTAGGGGTTTTATGTTTTTTGCCCCCGTCAGAAATTGCTAATAAGAAATAGGACACGTGTCGAAAAGTTTGCCTCGCAGTACCAATTTTGAACATAATCTGGGCCTCGCGTGAGCAAACTTCCAGAAAGCTGTACTTTTTTAGTGAAATTAAGACTAAATTTGATATATTTTTGAAACTATGGAGCTGGGATATACTTTCCCGAGTGTGTAACCAGGGTACAAATAGCCCTCGTGGCAACACCTTGTATGCTGGACACGTGGCTACAACTGTGTGCACGAATTGTGGGGTGTCTTCGTTGTGCAACTTCATGCACTGGCGAAGCGCTCGCCCGTTTCGCCAGCTGTTCGGACGTGCTGCAAATCACACACGCTCGCATGAACGTGAGCACGCACGTTCGCGCCTCCGACTCGAGTCAAGTTCATATTTCAAACTCGAACTTTTGCAGAGCCCATACAATGCTTGGTTCGGGAAGCACCCTTCGCGAAATTAGCGAATAGGGTAACCACCCAAAGTTCGAACTTTATTTTGAACTTCTAAACAGACCACACGCGCCCTTACCGAAATTCCACGAGATTGTCACGATGAGCAGTGTATTGTTGTTATAAATCTATATGAAAAATGGTGCATAATCTAGTCTGGTTGCGGACACGCAGCCCCAAACGGCGCTTTATCGAGAATATACCGAGCCTACTTTGTCATTTTCGCGAACCATGTGTCAGAAGAAACAGAACTATTGGCTCGGCCCAGGTTTTTGTTCGCACCAATTAAATCTCCCTGCCGAGCCAGGCTCTGGTAACACCTTGGCGGGAATCTGAATTTGACTGGGAATTCGAACGAAGCACGGTGGCGTTGTGGGAAGAAAGGGATGTGAGCCGTGGGATCAGGAGTTCTGGTCTGTGCTGTTTGTTCGCCATGCCTGGAAGTGTGCCTAGTCTTGGTTGCTGACCCGTGCCAGCCGAACAAGCATGCCGGTCGGGAGGGGTGCTGGTCGTAATGCTCTCAGGACGTGTACTTATAGACGTGAACTGAGTGTTATTTTTACAGAACATTCTTGAGGGTCTTACTGTGACCGTGAAGAATATTCAAAAGCCGGACTTAGGCCTGAGGCCAGTGATCATGTTTTATTCCAAAGCCATACTCAGCCCTCTTCTGTATCTGTAGGGTCATCGGAAACGATACCAACTTCAAATGCCCTCCATATTGTACGAGACCTCCAGGTTTACTTCAAATTCCAAGATATGGCTCCTTGCTACTTTTGAAAATCGAGAGCAATGCACAGCCGAGACAGGTTATTTCTCTCGTTCTTCGATTTTCGAAGTTCGCGCATGACTGATGAACGGCTCACATGGTCGGGACTTGGCAGTAGTTGCCACGGGTGAGAGAAACCGTGTTCTGCTGAATCGTGTTGCAGGTGCTCATCTCGAGCACCTCCGCACAGATTCTTTCTTTCTTTTACGTGAACGAAAACAATAGACAGCTTGTACTGTACTTGGCTCTGGGCCTTCGCATCTTCAAGCTTTTCGCGACTTTTACGACTGCTGCGATTGCCTTCTCGTAGCTTGTACATTTATACTCAGCCATTTCGGTGGAATGCGTTTTGTGTATTTATAACCAGCGACTACGCTCTGGCACATTTTGGCTTCGCATCTGGTGACAGATATTCACAGGATCGTCTCCATGGGATATAAATTCTCCTCCTCGTTCAGTCTATACCCTTCCTCTCACCGTCACCGCCAATAAGCCTGCGTATTTGTACCAGGCATAATCTGACCATTTCAAAATACGTTTCCCGTCGCCTCAGCATGGGTTCTGCCTTGTCCGTTCCGTTCAGCCTCCGCTCTTCGTCTCGCCTTCACCGTCAGGCATCACCCTCGCGAGATCGCCACCGGGCGGGTTACCACAGTTCTTCGTCCAGATCTAGGGAACCTCGCAGCGGGAGAACGGACGGTCGAGATTCCCCAGGGCTATGTGTCAGCAACGGAGCTCGGAAGGTCAGGAAACGAAAAAAACGTGGAAACTTTTTTTGGCTGTTCTGTTGCGGCCGGGAAAGCGGAGGATCCGTAGCTGACATTAGCTCCATCCCCAGCTGCCCGGTTTCGGACGACGGCCGTCAGAATGTAACGGAATCCGTCGTCTCTCTGACGGCGGCCGACAGACCGACCGGAGAGCCGTCAGTGCCGCCAGAGAGCGCGGCAAAAATGGAGACACCTAAAACGGCATCTGGTCGGTGGCTGCTGGATAGTGGCTTCCTCGAAGATTCCTCGCACGTGTTAACTTCGTTGTCGCAACACCAGCCAGATGCGTCGCAGGCGATTCCGTCGTTGTCGCATGCCAGCGGTTGCAATGTCGCTCACGCCTCGTCCTCCGTCCAGCAGTGCATGAACGATCCAGCAGGCGACGTTTCCGCAAAAGAGATTTCACACATCCCTGCTCCAGGCGATCAGTGCGACTTATGCGAAGCCGGCGACATTCGCGAGCTGTGCGACGCCGTTCTCCCACCGGCGACAGCAGGGTGTGAGGGTACAGCGACAGGAGCGGAATCCGAGCAGAGAGTGGGTGATGGGGATAGGTGGGGAGAATGCGGTGAGGCGGAAGAAGCGCGCGCACAGCGGGGGAGGAACCCCACCCCCGAGGCGGTCGACGTTGCAGCAGGAATGAGCCCCGGCGAAGTCTTTGCGCGGACTCTGAAGCTAGAGGCGGAAGAAGCGTGCGCGCAGCGGCGGCGGAGCCCCACCCCCGAGGGAGTCTCCGCGCGGACTCCGAAGCTAGAGGCGGAAGAAGCGTGCGCGCAGCGGAGGCGGAGCCCCACCCCCGAGGCGATCGATATGATGAGCCTGCTGCAGGGGCTCAGCGACGGGGAGGAGGAGGCGGAGGAGGGAGCGGAGGCGGACGGGGAGGGGGAGGAAGACGCTGAGGGTGGAAGAGAAGCGGAGGGGGAGAGGGAGGAGGCGGGAGAAGAGGCGGATGGGGAGGAGGGTGAGGGGGAAGAACGCGACAGGCAAGGGGGTGAGGTGGGAGAGGAAACAGACGAGGAGGAGGGTGAGGCGGGCGGAGTGGTGGACTGGCAGGGGGACGGCGAAAAGGAGGGGGAAGAGCGAGCAGCCGTGCGGCAGCAGCAGGGGCATGGAGGGAGTGAAGCAGACCAGTCCCACTTGCCGCCCCTGCTGTCCCCACATTCTCCGCAGTCCCAGCATTCTCCTCAATCCCAACATTCTCCGCAACCCCAGCAGCTTTCACAGCCTCAGCTACAGGAGCAAACTCAAGAGCCGGAACGAACTCAGGAGCTGCAGCAACGTCAAGATTCGCAGCGTTGTCAAACGGAGCCCGAGTTGGGTGCTGATAATGGCCACGACGAGCAGGTGCTGTTAGCTCCTCGTGCGGTTGAGTACGGTGGGGAGGGTGTGGCAGCCGTGGAATGGAATGCTGTTGGTCACCAATGCGGTGTAGAAGATGGTGGCACTGTAGTGGCTGTAACGGAGTGTAACACTGTGACGGAGTGTAGCACGGTAACGGATTGTGGTTCTACCGCGTATTCGAGCTCCGTGGCTTGTTCTACAACCGCAGGGCCGGGGAAGCAGGCGGAAGGGCATGCGGAAGAGGTCAGGGGCAGAAGCAGCGCTCAGGGTGAGGGGGGGAATGGGGGAGGTAAGGCGCAGAGTCGCAGGGCGGGAGGGGGGGAAGGCACAGGGGGTAAGCGCAGGGGCAGGGGCATGGACAGGGGCAGGGGGCGGGGGAGGGGAGGGGTTATGGGCGGGGTACGGGAGTGGAAGGGGAAGAAGAGGGGAGGAAGCGGAAGCGGGAGAGGTGGTGGGGAAGGGGGGTGGAGAGGAGGCGGGGAAGAGTTATGGTTGGACGATGAATGTTTGGAGGAGTTGGGTGCGGTGGAGGTGTGTTTGGAGGAGAGCGTTCAGTCGAACGATGTGGAGGTGGAGGGGATGGGGGGGGAGGGGCGGGGGAGGAGAGGGGGGGAGCGCGGTGGAGTGGGGAGGCGGGGGCGAGGGGGATGAGGTTGACAGGGGGACGAGTGGGGAGAGCCTTTTGAAGGGCACGAGAGGGGAGGAAGTGAAGAAGGGAGAGGAGGGAGAGGAGGGAGAGGAGGGAGAGGAGGGGGAGGAGGGAGGGGAGGGAGAGGAGGGAGAGGAGAGAGAGGAGGGAGGGGAGGGAGAGGAGGGAGAGAAGGGAGAGGAGGGAGAGGAGAGGGGGGAGCGAAATGCGCGTTTGGGGGATCTAGAGGATGGTGAGGGAGTGGATGATGGGAAGGGTGTGGCGGAGGAAAGGGGAGTGGTGGATGGGGGAGGGGTAAATGATAAGGAGAGGGCTGATGGCCGGGAGGGGTTGGAAGATGGGAAGGGACTGGAGGATGGGGAGGAGATGAGGGATGTTGATAAAATTGGAGGGAAGAACGAGGAGGGAGAGGATGGGGGAAACTGGGAGGGTGGGAGAATTTGGGTTGACAGAGAGGAAGGTGAGGAGAGGGGGAGAGACAGACGGATGGACGACGAGGGAGTGTTGGGAGATGCGAGGAGGGAAGAAAAGGAGGTCGAAGGTGGTGAGGCAGGAGGAGAGGGGAGTCAGAAAGCAGGGGAGGCTAATGCAGATGGGGCAGGGGGGCAGACGAGGAGGAGAGAAGAACAAGAGGGTGAAGCAGAAGGGACAGGAGGCAAGGCGAGGAGGGAGGATCAGGGGCGGGGCGCAGGTGGGAAGGGGCGGTACTGGGGGCTGGTGAGCGTCGGTGTGCTGGCGTGGTTGAGAGAGGAGGGGACGGAGGAAGGGAGGGGGGAAGTGAGGGAGGACGTGAGGGAGGAAGTGAGGGAGGAAGTGAGGGAGGAAGTGAGGGAGGAGGGGAAGGAGGAGGTGAGACAGGAAATGAGGGAGGAAGAGAGGGAGGAGAGGGTGGAGAGGGTGGAGAGGGAGGAGAGGGAGGAGAGGGAGGAGAGGGAGGAGAAGGAGGAGAGGGAGGAGAGGGAGGAGAAGGAGGAGAAGGAGGAGAGGGAGGAGAGGGAGGAGAGGGAGGAGAGGGAGGAGAAGGAGGAGAGGGAGGCGGAGCACGTAGCAGGTGCAGGGGGACTGGAGGAGGATGAAGACTTGGTGGAGGATGGGGAGGTTAGAGGGGTGACTCCCCTCACGGCAGGCAGCAGCAGCGTCATGGCTGCAGAGTACGAGCAGCACGTGCGGAGGGACGAAGATTCGGGCGCTTTGAAATCCCTCCTGGCGGAAAGCAGAGCGGTGGTAACTCGTGGAGGGTGGGAAGAGGACGAGGAGGGAGGGCGTGGGTTAGGCCCTCTCCTGGCGAGCAGCAGAATAGCCATGAGCAGAATGGAAGAGGCGTGGAGGGAAGGCGTGGGGGAGAGGAGTACCGGGAGTGTGGTTGTGATTAGAATGGAGGCGGACGGGGAGGAGGAGGAAGAAGAGGAGGGTTCAGGGGTGGTGTCCATGCTTTGTGCGGAAGGGAATGGGATGGAGGAAGGAGGTGGGAGCAAAGAAGGGGTTGAGGGAGGAGAGAGAGGCGAGAGGGCTGGGGAAGGAGAAGGGGGTGGGTTGTCTGGGAGTAAACCAGACGTGATTTCAGAGTTAGCTCAGAAGTCATTAGAGGCCAAGGGAAGAGAGGCGGCTAAAAGGGCTGGCAAGCGAAAAGGGGATGAATCAGCTGGGAGTAGAGCAAAGCAGGGCAGAGGTGGTGCAGAGGAATGGGTTGGACGGGGTGAGAAAGCCGTTGTTACTGTTACTCGGGCTGCTGGTTCCGATGGGGAGCAGAGCGAGGGAGAGCAGGGAGAGCAGAGAGAGCAGAGAGAGCAGAGAGTGCAGAGAGAGCAGAGAGAGCAGGGAGAGCAGGGAGAGCAGAGAGAGCAGAGAGAGCAGAGAGAGCAGAGAGAGCAGAGAGAGCAGAGAGAGCAGAGAGATGAGAGAGAGCAGAGAGAGCAGGGAGAGCAGGGAGAGCAGAGAGAGCAGAGAGAGCAGAGAGAGCAGGGAGAGCAGAGAGAGCAGAGAGAGCAGAGAGAGCAGAGAGAGCAGAGAGAGCAGAGAGAGCAGAGAGAGCAGAGAGAGCAGAGAGAGCAGAGAGAGCAGAGAGAGCAGAGAGAGCAGAGAGAGCAGAGAGAGCGGTTCGTGTTTGATCCAGACTTACTCGCCTCCATGGAGGACGTCTTTAATCGACATAGTGCTGCTGACTGGAGCAAGGTCACCCCGCCCATCAGCCCTGAGAAAGGCGTACACGCAAAGGAGGAAGCTGCTGGTGCAGGTGGTGGGGGTGGGCAGGAGGTGGGAGGAGGTGACGAGCAGGGCGGTTCAAGATCAGCGCGGCTGGTCGCTGGGTTAGGAGAAGCGGCAGGTGGTGGGAGAAAAGATTCGCTGCTTTCAGAAGTGGGGCTGCCTCAGGTGCCTCATGATCCAGCAGCACAAGTGCTGTTTTCCCCAGGTGATCCTTTTGAGGCGCCTCAAAAGTATGATCCAGCAGCACAGGTGTTATCCCCAGGTGATACTTTTGAGGCGCCTCAAAAGTATGATCCAGCAGCACAGGTGTTATCCCCAGGTGATTCTTCAGGTGCAGCAGAGAGTGTGTTGGTTTCACAGATGTCTGAGGGTCAGGTCAGAACGGACAGGCCATATACCTCAGGAGTTATTCCAGGTGCAGAGGGGCTGCAGCTGAGAGGTGATCTGAACCTAGAGAATGTACCGAGCCTAGGGAAGGTGCCGAGCCTAGAGAAGGTGCCGAGCCTAGAGAAGGTGCCGAACCTAAAGAGAGTCCTGAGTCTCGAGAACGAGGATGCAGCAAACCTGCCAACCTGTGAGACTGTGTCGAGTGCACAGGAAATGCCGCGCCTACAGGAGGTGCCAAGCCTACAGGAGGTGCCGAGCCTACAAGACGTGCCGAGCCTACAAGAGGTGCCGAGCCCAGACGAGTCTATGAGTCCGAAGCTGCCCCCAAGCCCAAGGGGTGGGGTGACCAACTATACAAGCCCCTATAAGCTCACAAGCCCTTACAGTCACAGCAGTTCGTTTAAGCATGGCAGCCCTTGCAAGCACGGGAGCCCTTACCAGCGCAGCCACCCATACAAGCACAGGCGCCTAAAGTCAGACATGCCTGCAAGCCCAGCAAGCCCAAGCACCCTAGCACCGATGCAAGCACAAGCACCAGTGCACAGTAGCCCTCACACGCACGAAAGCCCTTACCAGCGCCACCCATACAAGCACAGGCGCCTAAAGTCAGACATGCCTGCAAGCCCAGCAAGCCCAAGCACCCAGAGTAACAGTCATCATACTCAAGGTAGTCCTGGCCGGCTGCTTTTCCTCTCTATAAGCAGCCTCCGTTTCTCTGCTGGCGCTGCTTCTGGCTCTCGTACCAGCGCTGTTACTGGTGGTGAGAGGGACGGCGGCTCTGGTTGCAGTGGCGGCTATGCCACTGCTGCTGGTGCTGGTGTCGGTGCTGCTGGTGCTGCTGTTGGCGGTGCCAGCTGGCGGATTGGCGTGAACAGTGCTTCTCTGCGCCGACTCCTCTCCTCTGCTGCTTTGAATGGCGATGAGGGGAGGGGAAAAGAGCAAAAGGCTGAATTGGATAGTGTTGGGCGGAATGCGGAAGCGATTGGGGGAGAGGTGGGTGCAGTGAGGGCAGAAGAGGAGGGAGAAGCAGCGACGCGTGAGGCAGCAGTAGCAGTAGCGATGAGTGCAGGAGTGGCAGGGGAAGGGGTGGGGGAAACGCAGGGGAAACGAGGAGGGGGGGGCTGGGATGGCAGAGGCAAAGTTGAGAAGACAGGAGCAGCTGCAAAAGCAGCAGTAGCAGTGAAATCAGCAGCAGAGGGAGAAGGGGAAGGAGAGGAATGGAGGATTGCTAGACATGGGGCAGAGAAGGGAGTAGGAGCACCATTGGCACCAGCATCGGCTGCAGATATGGTTGCTGCTTCGATTGGGACACAGATTATAGTTGCGGAAGGAACAGCAACGTGTAGAGAGGATGTAGCAACAGCAACAGCAACGTCTCAAAAACACCCTCTCTACACTGGGACACGGATTCTAGTTGAGGAAGGAACAGCAGCAGATGCAGCAGCAGCAGAAGCAGCAGCAAAACTGTCACCGATTGCAGTGGCGCCACTCTCAGCAGATGCGCAGTTAGCAGCAGCACGTGCGCTTCTGTCCTCATTTGAGAGGAGGTGCCCTCCAGGAGGAGAGAGAGGGGTGGTGCTGTATGTGACGACTTTGAGAGCGATGAGGAGCAACTTCGAGGCATGCTGTGCTGTCAGACAGATGCTCAAGGTGAGAAAGAGACTGGAGGTGAGTGAGTGACACTCGAGCACACATGGAAGAGGGTTCCCCATTGGTGGTGCGGATGGTGCTGTATGTGACGACTTTGACAGCAATGCGGAGCAACTTCGAGGCGTGTTGTGCTGTCAGGTCAGACAGATGCTCAAGGTGAGATGAAGGATGCTTGAAGTGTGAAGAAGACTCAAGGTGAGAAACACACCCCCATGGGGTGACAGAGACATGCTGCGAGGGCTTCCCATGGGTGATGCTCCATGCTAATCGGCCACTCCTCCCTCTCCCTGCGGCACCGCACAGCCTTGGGGGCGCTGCTGCTGTGCTGCGCGTGGGGGAGAAGGGGCTGCTTGCTTCTGCCTTGGGGCGACTTTTCCAGCCGCCTAAAGACCCTTGATTTCCCTCTCTTCTCGTCGCTCTCCCACTCTACCTCCCCCATTCAGACCCTCGGCGTCCCCTTCCATGAAAGAGACGTGTCACTCCATCTTCCCTACCGCCAGCACCTCAGGGCACTCATAGGCCGCTCCTCCCTCTCCCTGCCGCACCTCTTTGCTGCCGGACGCTGCCTTGGGGGCGCTGCTGCTGTGCTGCGCCTTGAAGAGCAGGGGCTGCTGCTGCCGCTGCTTGCTGCTGCTCTGACGGATGGTGCTAGTGGGGGAGGGAGTGGGGTGAAGGGCGGTGCAGCAATGGCAGGAGGGGGGAGGGTGGTAGGAGGGAGAATGGGAGAAGGACGAACAGCAGAGGGGGCAGAAACGGCTGGAGAGGCAACGGGAGAGGAAGCAGAAGCAGGAGCAAGAGGAAAATTAGCAGCAGCCGGAGCAATAACAGGTTCAGCATTCGACTGCCTAATCCCAGTGGCCACAGCAAGTGGAGCAGCGATGGCAGGAGAAGGAGCAGCGCCAGCAGCAGCAGATGCGGCAGCTTCTGATGAAACTACCGGGGCTAGCGGTGCTGCTGCTGCTGCTGCTGCTGCTGCTGTGGTTCCTTCAGAAACTGCATCTGACGCTGCTTGTGCACCGATGAGCACAGCCCCTGAAGAGGCAGCAGCAGGCACCACTGCTGCTGCTACCACGGGCAGAGTCAGTCGCGCAGAACCAGCAGAGGGTGGTGGTGACTCTCATGGCACTGTGACTGTAGGGCCTTGTAAGACTGGTGTGACTGGCGCTGGTGTGGCTGGGTCTGGTGTGGCTGGGTCTGGTGTGGCTGGGTCTGGTGTGGCTGGCAGATCCAGTGTGAGAAGAGCACTGTTCCAGGGAAGCAACAGCGGGGCACGAGGTAATGATGCTGGCGGCAGCGGCGCTGCCAAGGATACTCGCACCAATTTCACTGCTTTGGCCTGCCCTACTGGGGTAGGCTTTGCTGGGGTAGGCTCTGCTGGGGTAGGCTCTGCTGGGGTAGGCTCTGCTGGGGTAGGCTCTGCTGGGGTAGGCTCTGCTGGGGTAGGCTCTGCTGGGGTAGGCTCTGCCGGGGTAGGCTCTGCTGGGGTAGGCCGCTCTGTGCCAGCTTTTGCTGTGCCAGCATCTGCTTTGTTTTCTGGCTGTTATGGCAGCAGCTGTGGCAGCAACAGCGTGGCGAGTGGAGGCGCATTTGGGGAAGGTTATAGTGGCATGTCTTGGGAAGGTGCGTCTGGGGAAGGTGCATCTGGGGAGGCCTACAGAGGTGCATCTGGGGAAGGCAGTGGAGGTATATCTGGGGAGGTTTACAGAGGAACGTATGGGGAAGGTACATCTAAGGAAGGCTGTAACCAGAGCAGCAGCAGAGATAGCAGCAGCGGGATGGGGTCTGCTGCTTGTTTCCCACCTCGGTCCCTTTCCTGCAACGCGGCTGCTGTTGCTGACGTGGCAATAGCTGCTGCTGCCAGGCGTGCGCTTGCCCATCCAGGTGGCAGCGGCGGCAACCTGAGCCGCGCCACATCAGCGCACACTCTCTCTGCAACCGCCAGCCATTTTACCAGTCGTGCTGCCAGCCGTGCTACCAAGATGCATGCAGCGCAAGCGCAGCAAGGAAAGAGCTGCTTCACTTGTGGTGGGTTGAGGTATCTAATTTGCACTCTCTGTGCGGGCAGCCGTGAGGTGCTATCCAGGGATGGTTGGTCTGTACGACCCTGTGTGCATTGTGACCCTCGTGGAATCATTGTCTGTCCTCGCTGTAGAGATTTGTGAAGTGCAAGGCAGCAAGGGAAAAGGCTGCTTCTCCTGTGGTGGGTTGAGGTACTGTATCTAGTCTGCACTCTCTGTGGGGGCAGTCGCGAGGTGCTATCCAGGAATGGCTGGTCCGTAAGGTCCTGTGTGCTCTGCGATCCTCGTGGAATCATATTACCGTATGCCCTCGCTGTAGAGGCTTGTAATCTATCGGTGTGGTTACCAGGGCCAGTTGCAATGTGCTGTCTCGAGATGGCTGGTCCGTAAGTGTCTGTGCGCATTGTAATCCTCGAGGAATCATAGTCTGCCCTCACTGTAGGGATTTGTAAAGTACATTGAGGTTTAAGTGATTTGAACAAATTGCCTCCTCACTGTCTGGGTGGGTACCGTAGTTGTGAGTCGAGAGGTGTTTTCCCGGGACAGCTGGTTCCATGTGCCTGCGCGCATTGCGGCCATCGCGGAGAGGAAATCGGTTTGGCAATGTTGTAGGGTAAGCTATATCGGGTTACACTACTGTACCATGGTTGGTAACCGCACTGTGCGGGACCGGTCACATCTCAGGAAGACGGGTGGCCTGGGGAGGGACTCAGGTATTACCGTACATGGATATGGGATGAGAGGCTCAGTACCCGGGAGCAGCAATTCTGTCATGAGATGTGTACTATGTACGTATCTGGTACAGAACAGATCAGATAATGCACTATATACAGGTTCCGTTCCGTACCATGTGTCTACATAACAGGCCAAGTGTAGCCTTGTAACGCTAGCTAGCCCCCAGGTTCAGGATCCATCCCACCACAAATCAGGCCAACTGCACACCATAGCAAGTACAGAAACAAGATTTCATGCTCTTATTCCATGCCTCCGCGTATCGCCTTCAAAGTTCCCAAGTAGGAAACCCAAACCAACTCTGCCCAACCAGCCAAATCCAACCCAACACGACCCAACCAGCCCACTTTGAAACCCGTCAGCCCACACTCCTCCTCGGGGCAAGTCGAAGGCCTCCTCCTCTTCCTCCCAAGCCACGGCCTTCATGCACGTCAACAGCCCTTTTCAGCTACACTCTTCCTCAGCGTACTACAACGGCCTTCTCTGCTCTCTCTACCCATAGACCTAGGCTTTATTACAACCCACACGTCACCTCCTCCTCTTCCGTCACAGCCACCTCCTTACAGCACTGCAGAGGGCCTCGTGTCTCGGGATGTGCCATGGTTACTTCTGATCCCACTCAGAAACTCAAATCTTCTCCTCTTGCATCTCCATCAGGCGCTTCACTGCCCCTCTGCTCACACTGCTCCTGCCTGCCCACCACTCTGCATCCTCTTGCATCTTGAGACGTCTCACACCTTCTCCTCCTCCTATTGCATCTCCTTCAGGCCTTCGAGAGAGCTCTGTTCACACTCCTCCTGCCTTTCTTGCTGCTGATGCCTGCTCACCACTCCGAATCCCCTTGCATCTTGAGATGTCTCACATCTTCTCCTCCCCCTCCTCCTGCATCTCCTTCAGGCACTTCAACAGCCGTCCGCTCACTCTCACCCTGCCTTTCCCCGCTCTTCCACCCATCACCCTCTTCAGCGCAACCCCCTGCTGCTCACGCCTGCTCGCTACTCTCTCCGCCCATGTGCCTTGCCGCCAGCCCCCACGCACTACCTCAGTCGCTTGCGCTTGCACCGACCCGGACTGAGAACCCTTGTGCTGATGCAAATGCCTCTTGCCGCCACCCGCTCTTTTAGCGGCCTGCACGGCCTGGGGAGGAGACATCTTTTGTCCAATCAGAAGCCTCCTGCTGCCAGCCACACCTGCTTGCATCACCCCCCTCCTCAACACTCCCTTCTGCTGCTGACGCCTGCTCACCACTCTCTCCACCGCAGTCCATCCATCCTGCATTACTCTCTGCAGCACACCCCCCTGGTGCTCGCGCCTGTTCGCTATTCTCTCCGCCCATGTGCCTCTCCGCCTGCCCCCACCCACTCCCCCAGCGGCTTGAATGGAGTGGAGAGGGGAAGCAACGACCAGACACCCTCCCCTCCTCTCCCCCTCCGCTTCTGCCCTCCACACTATCCGGGGAATCCCCTCTTCTGTCACTTCCCCTTCCTCCACCTCCCCCTCCTCCCCCTCCCCCCCATCACGTGCATCCCATTTCTCCCCCTCCTGCCCCTCCCCCGCTTCCTTTATCCCCAGCACCTCCCCCTCCACCCTTTCGTCCACCTTTACAAACTTCTCCGTCCCAGCGTTGACTTGCGTTGACCAGGCGCCAGCACCAGCATAGTCAGCATCCAAGTCAGCAGCAGCAGAGTCAGCAGCAGCTGAGAGGGCACCTGGAGGGGAAGAATCTGCAGTACCAACTGGGAGGCGTGTCCCGCGCGCCACGGGGGAAAGGGGGCGCGGAGGGGGGAGGTCGCAGCTATCCGCTTGCGCAAGGAGGCGAGGCTTCTTGGCTTGAGTGGATTGGGAGGTGGTGGAGCGAGCGGTTAGCCCCTGGCCTGTCCGTACTGTCCGCACTGTCCGCACCGTCCGCACTGCCTGCTCTGCTAGCATCATAGGGTTTGCCTGTACGGCGTGCTCTGCTTGCTCTGCTGCTTGCACCAGCGGCAGAGCTCGGGCATGATAGCGCCAGTAGTTGGGTGCTGGCAGGGACTGTTGACGCTCCAGCGCGGTGACGATACCCTCGCTATTCACCTGCCACGTGGCACGAGACCGCTTCCCCACGCTCCCTCCTCCTGCGCCTGCTGCTGCCACAGTCACTGCCGCTGTTGACGCTGCTTCTCCTGCGGCTGTTGCCGCCGGTAGCGGCGGAAATGGCGCCCTCCGCACTGACAAGGCGCGCGCATTCGGGCGTGACGCGCTCCCCCCCTTCGCGTTGGCTCCTTCAGCATCGTTCGCGCGGACGAAAGAGGGTCCTGCTGATGTGGCCGTGCGAGGGGCAGCACGACTGGTCTCAGCGAGAGGGGACGCAGTCGCGGTCGCATGCTCAGCAGTCGCAGTCACAGTCTCAGTCTCAGTCTCAGTCGTATTCGCATTCGCAGTCGCAGTCGCAGTCGCAGTCGCTGTCGCAATCGTCGCCAGAGTGGGGGGAGTCTCAGCTATCGGAGGCCCTCCGGGGGTTGCGGTCTGACGGCGCCGCCCAGACAGCCGCGACTTGCGCTTGCCGCCGATCATCTCGGGGGTTTCCGGGTCGTCCGAGGGATGCGGCGATGCGAGGAGGAGTTTCGACACCTCGCTGCGAAGCGCGGCCTCGCCGGCGTCACTGTCGTCGCCCTCGCCGTCCGCGTTCTCCGCGCTGTCCACGCCGAATACGCTGTCGTCACTGTTGTCGCCGGCACCGTGCAACGGCGTCATTGTCGTCAGCGAGTCACAGTCCTCACCGCCGTCGTCATTGTCGCTTCCATGCAGTATCAGATCTAACGTCCAGCCTCGAACAGCTTCAGGAATCTCGTCAGGTTCCGCCGCAGGTGTTGCTTCAGGTGCCAGCGCATGTGTAGCCACAGGTCTTGCCGCAGGTTGCGCACACTCTGAAGACGACCCAGGTAACGCAGGTGTCGCAGGCGTCACAGGTAGCGAGGTAGGCACTTTGCTGCTAGTGGGCGAGGAAGTTACACTAAGCTGATTGGACGTGTCATTAGTGACGTCAGACAGAGCCGATCGTGGGATTCGAACAGTCTGTCGACTAGCAGTAGTACGGCAAATAGTAGCCATGGCGGCCAGAACCGTGCGAACGAATCGCACGATCAATGCCTTTTAGAAGGGACCGAGATCGATAAGAACAAGAAAATAAATAACGACAAGGGTGATCTTCGCTTCTAATTCTATCACTGGAAGCCTGTAAAAAGAGCTAACGACGAGCGTGTTCTGGTGCTGAATTACTAGAACGAGCTGCTAGGAAATGTATGGACGAATATGCGATGATCCGACTGTTGGACTAAGAAACTCGGCCTTTCCGGGATGAGAGAATGAGGAGCCCTGGGAGAAACGAGTCAAGAGTCCCAAGACGCTCCAAGTCGAAGAGGATATAAGCTGTGAAAGTACGCTTGTTTGCCTTGACGACTCATCAAGCAGCGGAGCAGCGGAGCTGTGCCTAGAGATTAAGAGGCAAAGAAGGTTGGATTCGACGGATGGAAGGGTGGCCAGGTGCGTCTCTCACTGCACGATGTCCAAGACCATTGGATCGACGGCTAGATATGTGTGTTTGTCTGAAGTCAGTTTCAGGAATTGCCGCCAAGCCCTTTGAACCGAATTTTGAACCCCTCGCTTGGCGGCAGCGGCTCGCGCCTCGGTTGAACAAATGGAATGCTGCATGAGCTCGTTTTGAGAGATCCATGACTCGTTAGTGCATTTTGTATGCAGTTTAGTAGGCAAATGGTAAGCGATAAATTACGTCGATACAGATCATGCTAATTTTATTATGAAAATGAAACAATTTGAAATAAATTATAGATAGAGTCGAAATTAAAAACATAATATATATTTATTAATATGATTGTTTGAAGAAGGCTTTGGGAATACAGATAGTGGATATTGCTATTTGCATTCAGCATTGTTACATCTGTTTTCGATGCCAGCATGGTCAGGGTTACTGCCACGCGAGCACGCGCCTTCTGATCCATAGCGTGTGGCTGGATTTCGGGGCTACCACGCCAGCGTGGCTCGGCGCTGGGCATGTGTGTGGAACTCAGAATAGTTCGCACCATGTGGTGTCAGTCAGCAATTCGCCCCTGAACCCATCTCACCTGCCAAAAATTACCAGGGAGTTGCCCGTCAAAATGTACATTTCTTCGCTGGAGCGAACCACCTACCCATTCGAGACGACACATACCGTACTTCTGCTTCACTGCCCGTTTGCCGAAAGCAGCCCGCAGAAACAGCCGACGAAACAAAATTCGCATGTGAGAGAAAGCCCAGCCGAATTCCAGTTGGCCTGCTGTACATTGGAAAAAAGTCCACGTGTTCCAACACCTCTGATCTGACCCGACCCTGTGTTCCAGTGTATCACCTAAATGTTTCCATTGCATCCCTTCTCATCCTATTCCATTCCATCTGAACCGATCCGGATCCCTCGGAAACACCTGTGGATTCCTCCTCCCTCGTCCTCCTGCCTTGACCACCTATGATCCATCGCGCGCGGGCACCCACTTGCTGAACGAATGACTCCGCCATCCCTGACCATTTTGCCTTATTATCCAGAAACATTTCCTCTGTTCATGTCCTAGCCTGCCCTGTGCCCGTCCCTTCTCTGTGGGCTCGGCATTTTTCCAACTCGTCAACTGCCGGCACGTCTCCTTGGGTCGCCTAATCCAGGGACAATGGAGGCTCTTACGAAGACTTTTGTCCGTCCGCCGCTATGCGCCTCGGCGTCGCTTACCGGCCTGCCGTCAGTCGCCGTTAAATCGTCCGCTCGCGGCGGGTCTTCGTCTTCGTTCCCGTCAGTCTCGAAGGCGGCAACTTCGGCCGCAAACCGCACCGTCAGGACTTTCGCGCTTCCAAACGATGATGACGTCATCGCCTTAAATTCCGGAAAAAGTCTGGAGGAGCTCGAGGAGACGATTCGCCGCATCGCGGAGGAAAACGAGCAGCTCCGAGCTCGAGCCGCGGCCGCCGCGGCCAATGCGCGCCGCGCTGAGTCCGCTTTTAAAGGAGATGTCGACGTTTCAAGGCCGCGCATGGGGGCCGTGCCGCCGCCGCCTCCGCCGGAGTTCGCGGCGGCGCCTGTGGTCGAGTATCTGGATACGACTCTAGGGGGGGTGCCTACAGAGGAGGTTGCTTCAGTCGAAGCTAAATACCTCGTCGAAGGTGCGTTGCGAGTGTTATTACGAGCAATCCGAAGAGCTTACGGAAACGTTGGTCGTGGTAGTCTTGGTGCTGGTTGTTATGTTGGTTGTTACCGTTCGCTAAGAGGAGCTGATTACCTCGTCAAAAGTTTGTTGCTTCATGTTAAAGGCTTAAGGAAACAATGGCCGTGGTAGTGCTGGTGCTGGTTGCTGTGCTGGTGATGGTGGTTGGCTTGTAACGATTCCAGGAGTCAGCGAAATGAGCGTGGTATTCGTTGTTGTGTTGGCGGTTAGCGCTCTCGCGTGTGATTGTAAACCGCGTGGTTTGTGACTGTAATGGTGGCTGGAGGTGGCAGTCAGAAAAGGCACTGTTGAGTGTGTGCATAAGTACGAGCTTTCCCGCCCCCGCTTCTCTCCCCGCGCTTCTCTCCCCGTCCTTCTCCCCGACTGCAGAGGCAGGGAGCGTGAGGAGCTGGCAGGAGGCGGTGGAACAAGAGGCCGCCACGTCAGCAGCGGCGGATGGGAACCTCGAGATTGCCGCAGCAGGCGGGATCGAGGATATTCAGAAGACGGAGAACCCCATGAGGTGCGGTGGGAAGGCGTGGGGTGCGGTGAGAAGACGTGGGGTGCGATGAGAACGCTAATGTGTCCTTAAAGTCGACTCAAAAGCTGCCTTGACTCCAGCTACGTTTTCCCCTCCCTCATCATTCTTCTCTCCCCTCCCTTCCCTTCCACCCCCAGCATTGTGTTCGTGGCATCCGAGGTGGCCCCTTGTTCCAACACAGGTGGGCTGGCGGACGCAGTGGGATCGCTGCCGGTGGTCCATTCCCTCCCTCATATCACAGCCTGTCTTCCTCCCTCCCACCCCTCATCCCTCCACCAGCATTGTGTTCGTGGCGTCAGAGGTGGCCCCCTGCTCCAAAACCGGCGGCCTGGCGGACGCGGTGGGGTCGCTGCCAGTGCTCCATGTCCCCTCATATCCCCGTTTCCCCTGTGTTCCCTCCACCCCTCCCCCCTCTTCCCCCCCTCAACCACCACCAGCATTGTGTTCGTGGCATCCGAGGTGGCCCCTTACTCGAAAACCGGAGGCCTGGCGGACGTGGTGGGGTCGCTGCCGGTGGCGCTGGCGGCGAGGGGGCACCGCGTGATGGTGGTGGCGCCGCGCTACATGAACGGCGTCACGGACAAGCTCTATGCTGGCGCGTTTGACATGCAGGTGGGGGGTGTTGGTGTGCAGGTTAGGGCATAGAGTGGCACACAGGTCACACATAGCTGATACATGGGTGGCCCAGAGGTGGGTAGAGAGGGTGAGCTGGCAGCGAGGGGGCACCGAGTGATGGTGGTGGCGCCGCGCTACATGGACGGCGTCACGGACAAGCTCTATGCTGGCGCGTTTGACATGCAGGTGCGCGCATAGAGTGGCACACAGGTCGCACACAGGTGACACAGACAGAGGTGGGTAGGGGTGGTGCGCTGGCAGCGAGGGGGCACCGAGTGATGGTGGTGGCGCCGCGATACATGGACGGCGTGACTGACAAGCTATTCGCGGGGGCCTTTGACATGCAGGTGGGGGGGGGGGATATAGTGGCGCATACGGTGACACAGGGTAGGTGCGTACACAGGGAGGGACCATGTGCTGGCAGCGAAGGGGCACCGCGTGATGGTGGTGGCGCCGCGCTACATGAACGGTCTTACAGACAAGCTCTATGCGGGCGCGTTTGACATGCAGGTGGGGGGGGGGGGATATAGTGGCGCATACGGTGACACAGGGTAGGTGCGTACACAGGGAGGGACCATGTGCTGGCAGCGAAGGGGCACCGCGTGATGGTGGTGGCGCCGCGCTACATGAACGGTCTTACAGACAAGCTCTATGCGGGCGCGTTTGACATGCAGGTGGGGGGGGGGGGATATAGTGGCGCATACGGTGACACAGGGTAGGTGCGTACACAGGGAGGGACCATGTGCTGGCAGCGAAGGGGCACCGCGTGATGGTGGTGGCGCCGCGCTACATGAACGGTCTTACAGACAAGCTCTATGCGGGGGCCTTTGACATGCAGGTGGGGGGGGGGGGATATAGTGGCGCATACGGTGACACAGGGTAGGTGCGTACACAGGGAGGGACCATGTGCTGGCAGCGAAGGGGCACCGCGTGATGGTGGTGGCGCCGCGCTACATGAACGGTCTTACAGACAAGCTCTATGCGGGCGCGTTTGACATGCAGGTGGGGGTGTTGATGTGAGGGTTTGGGTTTTCTCTGGCACATAGTTGACACAAGGGTGGCATACAGGTGGGTAGGGATGGTGCGCTGGCAGCGAGGGGGCAGCGAATGATGGTGGTGCGAGGGGGCAGCGAGTGATGGTGGTGCGAGGGGGCAGCGAGTGATGGTGGTGTGAGGGGGCAGCGAGTGATGGTGGTGGCGCCTCGATACATGAACGGTGTCACTGACAAGCTCTATGCAGGGGCGTTTGACATGCAGGTGGGGGGGGGGTTGACATGCAGGGAGGATGCTCCACCCCTCATCTGCCGTTCCTGCAATCCCAACCTTCATGCTGCTGCCAGATAAATAGGATTGCCAATCTTTTCCCATTCACGCCAAACAGGTGCCAAATGATCCCTTCCCTTCTTCCCCCATTCTCCCCTCTCTCGCCCAACCCACACTGCACTGCAGAGCCACATTCTTGCACCGCCTCAGATCTGTTTCTGCCGCTTTCTTCCCCCTTTCTTCACTGTGTTTCGTTTACCCCGTGTTACCCCTCCTCACCTCTCCATGTGTGCATGAGCGCAGTGTCGCATCAAGTGCTTCTGCTTTGAGGGCGCTCACGAGGTGGCGTTCTTCCACGAATTCAGAGACGGCGTTGACTTTGTGAGACCTGACCTGCGTTGACCCGGTTGACTGACTGCCTCTCCTCTTTCAAACACCACCTTCCGTTTCTCCCCCACGCCTTGCAAGTTGCACGTTGCACATTGGCACATGACTTTTGAGTCGACTCAAAAGTCACCTTGCAAGTTGAACGTTGACACATACTTCTCTTTCTTGCTCATTGCAAGGTTAGATACAGTCCTCCCCAAACTCCCTTCCGCCCCACTCACTCACTAATCCCCTCCCCTTCCCCTTGCCCTCTTTCCCGTCTCCCGTTCCTCTCTCCCTCACACTTCCCCCACTTTCTGTTTCTATCTCCCTCCCTCCGCCCTCTCTCCCGCAGCTTCACCCCCTCTCTCTCCCTGCTCCTCTGAGTCAGCCCTTTCTCCCCGCCCTAACACCTTGCCTTCCCACCTCGCTCGCTCCCTCCCTCCCTCTTGCTCACTTCCCCCTTCCCCCCTTCCCCCCTTCCCCCCTTTCCCCCTTTCCCCCTTTCCCTTTCCTTTCCCTTTCCCTTGGCCATCCATCTGACCACCTTCCTTGGCCATCCATCTGACCACCTTCCTTGGCCATCCATCTGACCACCTTCCTTGGCCATCCATCTGACCACCTTCCTTGGCCATCCATCTGACCACCTTCCTTGGCCATCCATCTGACCACCTTCCTTGGCCATCCATCTGACCACCTTCCTTGGCCATCCATCTGACCACCTTCCTTGGCCATCCATCTGACCACCTTCCTTGGCCATCCATCTGACCACCTTCCTGGTTTTGAGGCGCCTCGAAAGTGTTCTCACCCACCTCGCCACCTCCCTCCCGCCCTCCCCGCCCCCCAACTCAGGTATTTGTCGACCATCCATCGTACCACCGTCCCGGCACGCCCTATGGGGACCAGAACGGCACATTTGGAGACAACCAGGTGGGTGGGTGAGAGAGGGTGCTGCAATGGCACGTGGTTGGGTTGGGGCAAGGAAATTGTACTTACTAAACTGGAAGATAGTTCTTTGTAGGTTTCTCTCCACCATTTTAACCCCAAACTCGGAAACTCGAAACGCTACCCTCCACCTCTATTTTCTCTCCTTTCCTCACCCGCTTTCCTTACCCGATTCCCACTCTCGCGATCCGTCAGTAGCGCTTTTCTTCGCCATGCCATGCTGCCTGTTAGGTGCCCGTGCAGCTGAAGCTGGGTGGGGGGGTCACTACGGGTAGAGAATGCTGCCTTCCTTTATTCCACACTTCCTCTCTCTCTCCACCCCCTTCGCCACTCTCACTCTCCTCCCCCTTCGCCACTTCCTCTCTCCAACCCCTTGGCCACTCTCACTCTCCTCCCCCTCCCACGTCAGTTCCGCTTCACGCTGCTGTGCCATGCGGCCTGCGAGGCTCCGCTACAGCTGGAGCTGGGCGGCTTTACCTATGGGGAGAAGGTTCTATTCATTGCCAACGACTGGCACGCGGGGCTGCTGCCCGTGTGAGTGGGGGGAGGGAGAGGTAGGGGAAAGGGGAGGCCAGGAGGGGTTGAAGGGACAGCTGGAGCTGGGCGGGTTCACGTACGGGGAGAAGGTGCTGTTCATTGCCAACGACTGGCTCGCAGGACTGCTGCCCGTGTGAGTAAAGAGCGGCAAGGCGAGGCGAGTGATGGTGCGAGTGTGAGGAGGGTAACGGATGGGGGGAGAGAGGGCAGTGATGTGATGAGTGAGAGCAGCTGTGCGGTTTCACAGCACACAGAGAGGAGGTCTTGTGTTCCTGTGTTGTGTTCATCACCTGACCGCCAAGCTGGGCGGGCTGGCCGGTGCCCTTTTGAGCATATAACAGCCCTGTCATATAACAGATCTCAAAACCGATCTCAATATAACAGGGCTGCTGCCTTGTCGCGTCTCTCACATCAGTTCCATGACATCCGGCTAACCCCCCCGCAATGGCAAACAAGCAAGGTCGCACCACCCCTGACCTGACCCCCTACCTGATCTCTCTCCTCAGCGTCTTCCCTCCTCCTTCTCTCCTTTTCATAAGTCCCATGGCATCCAACCAACCAAACGCCCCCACGGCATGCACAAGCACAAGCGCTCCCTCTTTCTCTCGCAGCCTCCCTTGCGGCTTTCTCTCTTCCCCCCTCCCTCTGTACCCTCCCCTCTCTCCTTTACCCCATCAGCCCCGTTGCCTCCAACAATCGCCCCCATGGTGTTCTAAGGATGCTCACTCGTGCCATCGTGTTTTCTCTCGACCTCCCTTGAGCTCTGCCCTCCCCTTCCCTTTCTTGCTGCCCTCTCTGACAACCCTTCTCATTGCTCCCCCATCAGTCTGGTCGCGTCCAACTACCGTCCCCACGGAGTGTACAAGGATGCTCGCACCATCCTTGCCATCCACAACCTCTCCCACCAGGTGAGGACAAACCTTGCCATCCATAGAATCGCACCAGGTGAGGACAAACGTTGCCGTCCACATTTACGCACTAGGTGAGGATAAACCCTGCGATGCACAGCCTATTCCGCTCAGTACGGACAAAGCTTGCCATCCACCACCTCTTACACCAGGTACAACATGTTGTATCCATCTGCCTCCCCAACTCCCGCTTCTTCTCCATCCCCCACTCGCTCCCTCTCCTCCACCCCTCTGCTTCCTCCCTCCAGTTCTCTTTTCCATTTTCCCCCACTCCACCACAGGGCGTGGAGCCAGCTAGGCTGCACGTTCGGCAGCCTGGGAGTGCCTGGTGACTGGTACGGTGCGGTGCGGTGTGGTGGAGTGGGTGTTCCCCGACTGGTACGGTGCGGTGGGGTGGTACCAACCACCCTCCCTCTTCCTTCCCCTTTCCCATGGTTCTTCCCCCCTGTCCCCCTCCCCCACTCCACCTCAGGGCGTGGAGCCAGGCTGCACGTTCGGCAGCCTGGCCATGCCTGGCGACTGGTACGGTGCGGTGCGGTGGAGTGGGTGTTCCCCGACTGGGCGCGCAAGCAGCCTACCTTTCCTTTACCCTTTCCCTTGCTTTCTCTTCCCTCTCGTTCCTTCACATGACAGGGCGTGGAGCCGGGCCACACGTTCGGTGGTCTCGGGAGTGCCGGGTGACTGGTACGGCGCTCTAGAGTGGGTGTTAACTTAGTGGGCGCGGAAGCACCCTCCTCTACTCTCCGCTTTCCCTTGATAGCCGCTCCCTCTCACTCTCCCACACCACAGGGCGTGGAGCCAGGCTACACGTTTGGCAGTCTCGGCGTGCCGGGCGACTGGTACGGGGCGCTCGAGTGGGTGTTCCCGGAGTGGGCGCGCAAGCACGAGTTGGACAAGGGCGAGGCGGTGAACATCCTCAAGGGGGCGATTGTCACTGCCGACAGGATCGTCACAGTCAGCCCGGTATGTGTGTGCTGTGGCTTGCACAGCATGTGAGTGAGGGCTCATGGTGCTGCGTGGGGCATTTGAACTGTACACGCATGGTGGCATGGCAAGGCAAGCACGAGTTGGACAAGGGCGAGGCGGTGAACATCCTCAAGGGGGCGATTGTGACCGCTGACAGGATCGTCACAGTCAGCCCGGTAAGCTGGTTGGCGATGTGGTGTGGTGTGGTGCAGTGCAGTGTGGTGTGTTTTGCTGTGGTGTGTTTTGCTGTGGTGTGTTTTGCTGTGGTGTGTTATGCTGCGGTGTGTGGCCGTGAGCTCTCCGTATGCTGCTCTGTCCGCACTGTCCTTGTCTCACGGTGCCAAGGCAAGCACGAGTTGGACAAGGGCGAGGCGGTGAACATTCTAGAATGGGCCATTGCTGTCAGGATCGTCACAGTCAGCTCGGTATGTGTGTGCGTTTGCGTGCATGTGTGTGTGTGTGTATGTGTGTGTGTGTGCATGTGTGTGTGTGTGGGTGTGCGTGTGTGTGCATGTGTGTGTCTGTGTGTGCATGTGTGTGCATGTGTGTGCATGTGTGTGTCTGTGTGTGTATGTGTGTGCATGTGTGTGTATGTGTGTGCATGTGTGTGTCTGTGTGTGCATGTGTGTGCATGTGTGTGCATGTGTGTGTATGTGTGTGCATGTGTGTGTCTGTGTGTGCATGTGTGTGCATGTGTGTGCATGTGTGTGCATGTGTGTGTCTGTGTGTGCATGTGTGTGCATGTGTGTGCATGTGTGTGTCTGTGTGTGCATGTGTGTGCATGTGTGTGCATGTGTGTGTATGTGTGTGCATGTGTGTGTCTGTGTGTGTATGTGTGTGCATGTGTGTGCATGTGTGTGTATGTGTGTGCATGTGTGTGCATGTGTGTGCATGTGTGTGCATGTGTGTGCATGTGTGTGCATGTGCTGCTGCTGCTGTGCGGGATACAAGACGTCACCTCTTGACCCTGACCCACTCACCCCGTCCCCCTCCCACTCCCTCCCCCTTCCTTTCCCACCCTCTTCCCCCGCGCTGCAGGGGTACGCGTGGGAGATGGCTACAGTGAAGGGTGGGTGGGTGGGGTCACACGCACACGTGAAAGAAGGAGTGTTTTGAGGGTGGGTGGGTGGGTGAAGGGTGGGTGGGGTCACACACGTCTCAAATCGCTACAGTGAAGGGTGGGTGGGTGGGGTCACACACACACGCCCTCTACCCTTCCCCCCCTCACCCCGTCCCCCTCCCCCTCCCCCTCCCTCTCCCTCCCCCACCGCGCTCCAGGGCTACGCCTGGGAGATAGCTACAGTGGAGGGCGGGTGGGGACCACACCTCCTCGCCAATTCAACCACTCACCTTCGTCCCTCCCCGCTCTTCCCCTCTTCCCTCCCCCTGCACACGCTGCAGGGCTACGCGTGGGAGATCACGACAGTGGAGGGCGGGTGGGGGCTGGATGGGCTGCTCCGGGGGCGAAGCTTCGTGCTCAACGGTAGGAAGCTTCATATGTGTTCAATTCAATCAACAGAGACTGCTACGAGGTGAATTGGCGTAGGGCACGTTCTCTCCCCTCCGCATGCCTCCCTCCGAGCTGGTTTTTGAAAATTCTCAAAACAGCCTGCAGGGACCGGTGGATGCCTGGAGGGAGAATTCTCAAAAACCAGCTCGTGGGGCACGTTCTCTCCCGTTCTCTCCCGTTCTCTCCCGTTCTCTCCCCTCCCCATGCCTCTTGAGTCGACTCAAAAGTCACCTCATTACAATGGCACATGAATTGGCATGGGGCACGTTCTCTCCCCTCATAGCGGAGAAAACCCCTCCACGTTCTCTCCCCTCCCCATGCCTCCCTCCTCTGTCTGTATGCATGCACACGCCTCCTTCTTCCCCCCTCCCCCCCGTCCCTGCCACTTATGGTCCCTCCGTGCATCCCTCTTTACTTTACCTGCCCCACTCGCTGTGTCGTGCTCTCCTCTCCTCCATGCATCCACGCGCCCACCCACTCCACCCACCCACCCACCTACTCACCCGCACGCCCCCTTGTTGCCATGCAGGTGTGTGACCAGCGGAGTGGGTGTGGTGGATTGGAGCCCTGCCACGGACAAGCACACAGCAAGCACACCGTTGATAGGCATAACCCCCCACCTTCAGTGGAGCACTAGTCACAGGCCACCCCTGCGTGCCTCTTTGCACTCTCGTTCTCCGTGCAGGTGTGACCAACGGAGTGGATGTGGTGGACGGGAACCCTGCCTGCCATGGACAAGCCTGCAGTGCGGCAGATAGCTCAGGCTCCCCATTTGACCCTTGAGGACTTTCCGCCCTGCCCCTTGCCCCGCTGCAGGTGTGACCAACGGAGTGGACATGGTGGACGGGAACCCTGCCTGCCACGGACAAGCCTGCAGTGAAGCACCCCGCCCGCCCCGTTTGAGCCCCCCCCTTGCTGTGTATGTATGCGTGCAGGTGTGACCAACGGAGTGGACGTGGTGGACGGGAACCCTGCCTGCCACGGACAAGCCTGCAGTGAAGCACCCCGCCCGCCCCGTTTGAGCCCCCCCCTTGCTGTGTATGTATGCGTGCAGGTGTGACCAACGGAGTGGACGTGGTGGACTGGAACCCTGCCACGGACAAGCACATTCCCTCGCAGTACACCGCTGCTGACATGGCTGGCAAGGTGGGATGGGGTGGAAGGAGGGCAAGTGGGATTAGACCTTGGGCGTACAGGGATAGTTTGGCATTTTCAAACTCCGCCACGGACAAGCACATTCCCTCGCAGTACACTGCTGCTGACATGGCTGGCAAGGTGGGATGGTGTGGTAAGTGATGGGGGGGGGAGGGAGGTGGGCAAGTGGGATTGGATGTGCTGGGATGGTTTAGAATGCACCCCACTGCACCCCACTGCGCCCCACTGCGCCCCACTGCGCCCCACTCATGCATCCTTCCTTCCATGCTTCCAAGTGTGTTTATGTTTATGTTACCTTTGAGAGCTCTTGAAGCTCATTCAATTCAAGTGCACCCCTCCCTGGATTGTGTCCATCCAAGCCTGCGACCTTTGAGACGTCTCAAAAGCCTCCCTGGATTGTGCCCATCCAAGCCTGCATAAACCGTTGGCTCACACATCACATCACAACAACTACTCTTCCCCTGTTCCCTCCCCCCCCCCCCCCCCCCTCTTTCCCCCTCCCCCTTTCCTCCTCCCCCCTTCCCTCTCCCCCCTTCCCTCTCCCCCCTTCCCTCTCTCCCCTTCCCTCTCCCCCCTTCCCTCTCTCCCCCTTCCCTCTCCCTCCTTCCCTCTCTCCCCCTTCCCACTCTGGTCTGGAGCCATATCAGGCAGCGTGCAAGGCAGCACTGCAGCAGGAGCTGGGTCTCCCTGTCCGACCAGACGTGCCTCTGGTGAGACACACGCGCCACTGGCGAGGTTCCTGAGCTTTTCAGTGGGTGGGTGGGCTGGACCAGACGTGCCTCTGGTGAGACACACGAGCCAAGGTGCCGGGTCAAGTCAGTGGGTGGGCTCTGGTGGTAGTGGGTGGGAGTGGGTGGAAGTGGGTGGGGCTGTTTGGTTGGCAGATAGACAAGCCACCTGTGGCACCTGTGGCAGAACTCGTCTCCCCTTTGCCTCATTTCCCCCATGGCAGATCGGCTTCATCGGGCGTTTGGACTGGCAAAAGGGCCCTGACGTTATTCAAGCAGGAGTGCCGGAGCTTATGACTGACGACGTGCAGTTTGTGAGTGGAGGGGATGGGAAGGGGGGCTTTACTGTAGCTCGGATGGGATTGACAGTTTTGCTTTTTGAGACGTCTCAAAAGTCTTCCTTGAAGGGCCTCAAGAATTGCTTCAAGCGGGAGTGCCGGAGCTTAGGACTGACGACGTGCAGTTTGTGAGTGGCGGGGGGAAGAAGTGGGAGGGGGGGGGAGGAAAGAGTACAACAGGGGGGGCACTTCTTTAGGCGCCTCACAAGAAGATACTACAAGCGGGAGTGCCGGAGCTTTAAGCTTAGGACTGACGACGTGCAATTTGTGAGTGGAGGGAATGGGAAGGGGGGCTTTACTGTAGCGCGGATGGGATTGACAGTTTTGCTTTCTTCCTTGAAGAGCCTCAAGAATTGCTTCAAGCGGGAGTGCCAGAGCTTATGACTGACGACGTGCAGTTTGTGAGTGGAGGCTTGGGTAGGAAATGATAGCGGGGATACGGTTGGCAGGGTGAGGATGTTTGCTGGGTAGCAGTTGCGGGAATAGGGCTGGCAATTCTTGAGGCACTTAAAATATCGGTGCAAGTGTTGGTGCTTGGATTGGAGCTCGTGACATTTTCTGAGAATTCTTAAAAACCAGATTGTTGCAAGTGGGGTTTTGTTTTGAGGCGCCTCAATACGAGCTGGTTTTTGTGAATTATCAACACCCAGACTGTTGCAAGTGGGGGTGCTTGGAGCTCTTGACAGATGATGATGATAATGATGTGCACTTAGTGAGTGTTGGGGGGTGGGTGGGAGGGGGCAGGAGCTTTTCTTATAGCGGGAATGGAATTGTATGTATATGAACCCATCCTCGACTCTAGGATTGCGAGTGCCGGAGCTCATGAATGCCTCGATGATAAATGCAGTTGAGATGTCCAGTTCGGGCGCCACCTGTATAGAGGGTATTTTTGAGACGTCTCAATTTTTGAGTCGACTCATAAAAAGTATTTTTGAGACGTCTCAAACGCCTCAAAAATACTCTCTACACACATAATAAATGCAGTTGAGATGCCCAGTTCGGGTGCCGCCTCAAACGCAGACCATGCTGGGCAGGGGAGATGCGGGGTAGGGCGAGTATCGACCTCCCCCCTGCATACCCCCCTCTTGTCCCCCTGAATCCACACCCTCACTTGCTCTCCTTCCCCCCATACCTCTCACTAAAGCTCTTTTCCTTTCCATGCATTCCTCCCGCTATCCTGCAGATCATGCTGGGGAGTGGCGATGCGGAGTACGAGTCGTGGATGGCATGGGCGGAGGGCGAGTATCGACCTGCCCCTTGCATGCATATGCCCTCCTACCAAACCTCTTCCTCCCACCCTTCCTCCTCCCACTATCCTGCAGATCATGCTGGGGAGTGGCGATGCGGAGTACGAGTCATGGATGGCGTGGGCGGAGGGCGAGTATCGGGACAAGTTCCGCGGCTGGGTGGGCTTCTCCGTGCCCGTGGCACACAGGATGACTGCTGGGTGAGTGAGACTGCAGGGCTGGAATTGGGTAGATGTGGAATAGGTAGGCAGCACTGCGCAGTGGGGCTGTGTGGACTTCTCCGTGCCTGTGGCGCATAGGATGACGGCGGGGTGAGTGAGCAGGGAGGGATGGGTGAGAGAGAGCACGGAGGGTTGATCACGCACAGGATGTCCGCTGAGTGTGAGTTTCCTTTTCTTTCATCCCTTTGAATCCATCACCCTCTCATGCTGTTCCCTTTGCCCTTCTCCCTGTGCCTCCCTTCACCGTGCCTCCCTTCACCGTGCCTCCCTTCACCGTACCTCCCCTCACCGTGCCTCCCCCATCATCCCCCTTGCTATTCTGTCCCCACAGCTGCGACATTCTGCTCATGCCATCGCGATTCGAGCCATGTGGGCTGAACCAGCTGTACGCCATGCGATACGGCACCATCCCCGTCGTGCACGCCACTGGCGGGCTGCGGGTGAGTGGGAGATAAGGGAGGGAGGGAGGGAGGGAGGGAGGGAGGGAGGGAGGGAGGGAGGGAGGGAGGAGGGAGGGAGGGAGGGAGGGAGGGAGGGAGGGAGGGAGGGAGGGAGGGAGGGAGGGAGGGAGGGAGGGAGGGAGGGAGGGAGGGAGGGAGGGAGGAGGGAGGGAGGGAGGGAGGGAGGGAGGAGGGAGGGAGGGAGGGAGGGAGGGAGGGAGGGAGGGAGGGAGGGAGGGGGAGGGAGGGAGGGAGGAGGGAGGGAGGGAGGGAGGGAGGGAGGGAGGGAGGGAGGGAGGGGAGGGAGGGAGGGAGGGAGGGAGGGAGGGAGGGAGGGAGGGAGGGAGGGAGGGAGGGAGGGAGGGAGGGAGGGAGGGAGGAGGGAGGGAGGGAGGGAGGGAGGGAGGGAGGGAGGGAGGGAGGGAGGGAGGGAGGGAGGGAGGGAGGGAGGGAGGGAGGGAGGGAGGGAGGGAGGAGGGAGGGAGGGAGGGAGGGAGGGAGGGAGGGAGGGAGGGAGGGAGGGAGGGAGGGAGGGAGGGAGGGAGGGAGGGAGGGAGGGAGGGAGGGAGGAGGGAGGGAGGGAGGGAGGGAGGGAGGGAGGGAGGGAGGGAGGAGGGAGGGAGGGAGGAGGGAGGGAGGGAGGGAGGGAGGGAGGGATGGGAGGGAGGGAGGGAGGGAGGGAGGGAGGGAGGGAGGGAGGGAGGGAGGGAGGGAGGGAGGGAGGGAGGGAGGGAGGGAGGGAGGGAGGGAGGGAGGGAGGGAGGGAGGGAGGGAGGGAGGGAGGGAGGGACGATACAGCAGCGGCTGAACCAGCTGTATGCCATGCGATACGGCACCATCCCCGTCGTGCACGCTACTGGCGGCTTGAGGGTGAGTGGTACAGTGAGGAGGGGTAGAAACTCAATATATGAAACAGCTGAGGGGTAGAAGGATATAGCAGCAGAGGCTGAACCAGCTGTATGCCATGCGATACGGCACCATCCCTAGAGTGCACGCCAGTGGTGGCTTGAGGTTAAGTGATGAGCGAGAGATTGAAAAGGGGGGGAAAGAAATTCTTCTTTCTTGTGCCTTCTTTCCCCGTCCCGCTCCTTGCTTCCGTCGCGACCCATGACTCATCCCCCCGTTCAGGACTTCGACCCGCTCGTCCTGTTCTCCTCTGCAACCTTGCCTTCTCCCATCTCCCGTCATCTCCCCCCTCCCCCTTCCTACCCCCCAACCCCTTCCCCCCCCACCAACCCCCCCCAACCCCACACCTCTCCCTTTCCGACGCCCCATCTCCCTCTTTTCTCTCACCCACTCCAGGACACGGTTCAGGACTTCAACCCGTTTGCCAACGAGGGCAAGGACGACGACACGAGGAGGTGTCAAAGTGACTTTTGAGTCGACTAAGAAATGATCCCCGTCCTTCCCCACCGCTCCCTCCCACCCCTCCCTTTCTCCCCGCCCATCTCCCACTCCCTTTCTCCCCGCCCATCTCCCACTCCCTTTCTCCCCGCCCATCTCCCACCCCTTCCATCCACCCCAGGACACGGTTCAGGACTTCAACCCGTTTGCCAACGAGGGCAAGGGCGATGGTACAGGGTGAGCAGAGGGGGGAAGGGGGGAGATACGGAAAGGGTTTCCGGTGGGGTGGGGGCCGGATAGGAAGGGTGGGTGGGACTAGAAAGGGCCGGATAGGAAGGGTGGGTGGGACTAGAAAGGGCCGGGAGGGAGGGCAGGAATGGCATGCTTCCCTTTTTTGAGGCGCCTCAAAACTAGGGCCAGGAGGGAGGGCAGGAATGGCATGCTTCCTTTTTGAGGCGCCTCGAAACTAGGGCCAGGAGGGAGGGCAGGAATGGCATGCTTCCCTTTTTGAGGCGCCTCAAAACTAGGGCCAGGAGGGAGGGCAGGAATGGCATGCTTCCTTTTTGAGGCGCCTCAAAACTAGGGCCAGGAGGGAGGGCAGGAATGGCATGCTTCCTTTTTTTGAGGCGCCTCAAAACTAGGGCCAGCAGGGAGGGCAGGAATGGCATGCTTCCCTTTTTTGAGGCGCCTCAAAACCAGGGCCAGGAGGGAGGGCAGGAATGGCATGCTTCCCTTTTTGAGGCGCCTCAAAACTAGGGCCAGGAGGGAGGGCAGGAATGGCATGCTTCCTTTTTGAGGCGCCTCAAAACTGGGGCCAGGAGGGAGGGCAGGAATGGCATGCTTCCTTTTATTGAGGCGCCTCAAAACTAGGGCCAGGAGGGAGGGCAGGAATGGCATGCTTCCTTTTTTTGAGGCGCCTCAAAACTAGGGCCAGGAGGGAGGGCAGGAATGGTATGCTTCCCTTTTTGAGGCGCCTCAAAACTAGGGCCAGGAGGGAGGGCAGGAATGGCATGCTTCCCTTTTTGAGGCGCCTCAAAACTAGGGCCAGGAGGGAGGGCAGGAATGGTATGCTTCCCTTTTTGAGGCGCCTCAAAACTAGGGCCAGGAGGGAGGGCAGGAATGGCATGCTTCCCTTTGTGAGGCGCCTCAAAACTAGGGCCAGGAGGGAGGGCAGGAATGGCATGCTTCCCTTTTTTGAGGCGCCTCAAAACTAGGGCCAGGAGGGAGGGCAGGAATGGCATGCTTCCTTTTTGAGGCGCCTCAAAACTAGGGCCAGGAGGGAGGGCAGGAATGGCATGCTTCCCTTTTTGAGGCGCCTCAAAACTAGGGCCAGGAGGGAGGGCAGGAATGGCATGCTTCCTTTTTGAGGCGCCTCAAAACTAGGGCCAGGAGGGAGGGCAGGAATGGCATGCTTCCTTTTTTTGAGGCGCCTCAAAACTAGGGCCAGGAGGGAGGGCAGGAATGGCATGCTTCCCTTTTTTGAGGCGCCTCAAAACCAGGGCCAGGAGGGAGGGCAGGAATGGCATGCTTCCCTTTTTGAGGCGCCTCAAAACTAGGGCCAGGAGGGAGGGCAGGAATGGCATGCTTCCTTTTTTTGAGGCGCCTCAAAACTAGGGCCAGGAGGGAGGGCAGGAATGGCATGCTTCCTTTTTTTGAGGCGCCTCAAAACTAGGGCCAGGAGGGAGGGCAGGAATGGTATGCTTCCCTTTTTGAGGCGCCTCAAAACTAGGGCCAGGAGGGAGGGCAGGAATGGCATGCTTCCCTTTTTGAGGCGCCTCAAAACTAGGGCCAGGAGGGAGGGCAGGAATGGCATGCTTCCCTTTTTGAGGCGCCTCAAAACTTGGGCCAGGAGGGAGGGCAGGAATGGTATGCTTCCCTTTTTGAGGCGCCTCAAAACTAGGGCCAGGAGGGAGGGCAGGAATGGCATGCTTCCCTTTGTGAGGCGCCTCAAAACTAGGGCCAGGAGGGAGGGCAGGAATGGCATGCTTCCCTTTTTGAGGCGCCTCAAAACTAGGGCCAGGAGGGAGGGCAGGAATGGTATGCTTCCCTTTTTGAGGCGCCTCAAAACTAGGGCCAGGAGGGAGGGCAGGAATGGCATGCTTCCCTTTGTGAGGCGCCTCAAAACTAGGGCCAGGAGGGAGGGCAGGAATGGCATGCTTCCCTTTTTGAGGCGCCTCAAAACTAGGGCCAGGAGGGAGGGCAGGAATGGTATGCTTCCCTTTTTGAGGCGCCTCAAAACTAGGGCCAGGAGGGAGGGCAGGAATGGCATGCTTCCCTTTGTGAGGCGCCTCAAAACTAGGGCCAGGAGGGAGGGCAGGAATGGCATGCTTCCCTTTTTGAGGCGCCTCAAAACTAGGGCCAGGAGGGAGGGCAGGAATGGTATGCTTCCCTTTTTGAGGCGCCTCAAAACTAGGGCCAGGAGGGAGGGCAGGAATGGCATGCTTCCCTTTTTGAGGCGCCTCAAAACTAGGGCCAGGAGGGAGGGCAGGAATGGCATGCTTCCTTTTTTTGAGGCGCCTCAAAACTAGGGCCAGGAGGGAGGGCAGGAATGGCATGCTTCCTTTTTGAGGCGCCTCAAAACTTGGGCCAGGAGGGAGGGCAGGAATGGCATGCTTCCTTTTTTTGAGGCGCCTCAAAACTAGGGCCAGGAGGGAGGGCAGGAATGGCATGCTTCCTTTTTTTTGAGGCGCCTCAAAACTAGGGCCAGGAGGGAGGGCAGGAATGGCATGCTTCCTTTTTGAGGCGCCTCAAAACTTGGGCCAGGAGGGAGGGCAGGAATGGTATGCTTCCCTTTTTGAGGCGCCTCAAAACTAGGGCCAGGAGGGAGGGCAGGAATGGCATGCTTCCCTTTGTGAGGCGCCTCAAAACTAGGGCCAGGAGGGAGGGCAGGAATGGCATGCTTCCCTTTGTGAGGCGCCTCAAAACTAGGGCCAGGAGGGAGGGCAGGAATGGCATGCTTCCCTTTTTGAGGCGCCTCAAAACTAGGGCCAGGAGGGAGGGCAGGAATGGTATGCTTCCCTTTTTGAGGCGCCTCAAAACTAGGGCCAGGAGGGAGGGCAGGAATGGCATGCTTCCCTTTGTGAGGCGCCTCAAAACTAGGGCCAGGAGGGAGGGCAGGAATGGCATGCTTCCCTTTTTGAGGCGCCTCAAAACTAGGGCCAGGAGGGAGGGCAGGAATGGTATGCTTCCCTTTTTGAGGCGCCTCAAAACTAGGGCCAGGAGGGAGGGCAGGAATGGCATGCTTCCCTTTTTGAGGCGCCTCAAAACTAGGGCCAGGAGGGAGGGCAGGAATGGCATGCTTCCTTTTTTGAGGCGCCTCAAAACTAGGGCCAGGAGGGAGGGCAGGAATGGCATGCTTCCTTTTCATTTGACGGGGAAGGGGAGGGGAGCAAGGAGAAGCGAAGATGGTTGGCTCGGGCAGGGGGGAAATGAGGGGTGGAGGGAGGCTGTACTGTACAATTGAGTGAGAGGGGTTGACGTGACATGAGGGGAAGGCCTAAGGGATGGAAGGGTTGTAAAGAGGGCAGAAACGGGTGGCTAGACGAGGCGTGGCCTCCGCTGCTTTATGCCTCCTTGCGTGTTCGTCTCTCACATGCATGGGCATTTCTCCTCACCCTTCACCCTACACCTTACACTGAATTACCTTCGCTGATCCCTTACTCGCCTGTGACGCATGTCATCCTTCTCTTGCCCCTCAGGTGGACCTTCTCACCCCTCACCAAGGAAGCCATGATGGGGGTGAGTGCGTGCATGCATGCATGCGTGCGTGTGTGTGTGAGTGCGTGCGTGCGTGCGTGTGTGTGAGTGCGTGCGTGCGTGCGTGTGTGTGTGTGTGAGTGCGTGCGTGTGTGTGAGTGCGTGCGTGTGTGTGTGAGTGCGTGCGTGCGTGCGTGTGTGTGTGTGAGTGCGTGCGTGTGTGTGTGAGTGCGTGCGTGAGTGCGTGTGTGAGTGCGTCCGTGCGTGCGTGAGTGCGTCCGTGCGTGCGTGTGTGTGTGAGTGCGTGCATGCGTGCATGTGTGAGTGTGTGCGTGCGTGCGTGAGTGCGTGAGTGCGTCCGTGTGTGCGTGAGTGCGTGCGTGAGTGCGTGAGTGCGTGAGTGCGTGAGTGTGTGCGTGCGTGAGTGCGTGTGTGTCTGGTAACCAGTTGTGTCTGTCCGTCAATGGTCCTCACGAACTGTTACTGTTACTGTTACTGCTTATCTCTTCAATATTGGCTCTTTTCTGGTTTCAAGATTTTTCTCTGACGTGCACATACGTGATATACCCCTCCGCATAGCTGAATACCCCTCTGCATACACGACTACCCCTCTGCATACACGACTACCCCTCTGCATACACGACTACCCCTCTGCATACACGACTACCCCTCTGCATACACGACTACCTCTCGGCATTCATGACTACCCCTCTGCATACATGACTACCCCTCTGCATACATGACTACCCCTCTGCATACATGACTACCCCTCTGCATACATGACTACCCCTCTGCATACATGACTACCTCTCGGCATACATGACTACCCCTCTGCATACATGACTATCCCTCCGTATACCTGATTATTGCTTACATACCTTCCCACCGCTCTGCACCCATGCAGGGGCTGTGGATGGCGATTCAGACGTACAGGGAGCACAAGGACTTGTGGGCATGGGTGATGGAGAGGGGCATGCTGCTCCACGTACCCTACTACCTCTCCATATACCTTACCACCACTCCTCACCTTACCACCACTCTACACACCTTTCCACCACTCCACACCCGTGCAGGCGCTGTGGACGGCCATTCAGACGTACAGGGAGCACAAGGACTCGTGGGCGCGGGTGATGGAGCGGGGCATGCTGCAGGACATGTCGTGGAACAAGGCAGCCGAGCAGTACGAGCAGATCTTTGGCTGGGCTATGCAGGACAAGCCGTATGCTTGATATGTGAATGAAAAGAGTAGATGTACTATGTATGCGGGGAACGGGTTGACGGAATGGGAATCTTGCACATTGATTAGAACGAGCAGATATTTGGCTGGGCCATGCAGGACAAGCCCTATGCTTGATTCAGGAAAAATATGTGTTGCTGCTGCTGGGTACACTTGCGACTCAAATGGGTTGCTGAAGTGATGGGCTTTATTCTTGTTGATTGAGACTGAAGATACATGCTGCACACAGGAGCAGTGGAGCCTCTTCCATGAATGCCTTCTTGGCCATGCCACCCATGAACCTCAACTGGAAACCTAGTGTGTTTTTAGCTGATGTCACTAGCTAGAAAACAAGATGCGATGAGCGTGGATCGAACACGCAACCTTCAGATCTTCAGTCTGACGCTCTCCCAACTGAGCTATCCCTGCAAATGTGGAGAAGTGAGGTATAGATGCACATACCTCTCGCATGCTAAGCGAGCGCTCTACCATCTGAACTACATCCCCGTTGTCCGGTGACCACGAAGTACAGATAAGTCAGCTAGTAGTTTTGCTCCTGAAACCAATGAAGTGCACAGTATCCGAACTGGTGTATAGAGTTCGGCAAACTGTTCTCGTTACTAGCGTCGAGATCTTAGATGCGCAATACACGCTCGACCGACGGCGTTGAGAGAGCCACGCGAGCGGTTCATGGCTGGGCGCATCTGGGCTCAGAACGTCAGAGGCATACGTGGGGCATCATCGAGCCAGTCGCGTGCCACCATCTGTCGTCGTGGCCCTCTCACATCTTTCCGGGATGACCCAAGCTGACATCATTTCTCATTCGAGCGATCTGCCCGTTGTCACACACTTGTACAGCTTTTAGTGCTGAACTTGGTAGCAATATTTGGCAAGGAGGCGCGAAGTCCGTGAACATATGTTTCTGAAAGTGAAAGTCGTGTGGTGGCAACAATTGGTCCAGAGTACCTTAACTCGCCGTATTATTATTTTCGTTTTCGTCTGCCCGTGAAGCTCTCACATCGTTTTTCCAACGAAGCTTCACCCTCGTCGATGTCACCACCATTCCTCCACAGCCATGACTGCCAGATGCTACACGCGCCTCGCACCGGCTGTACCATTTTCCTTGACATTGCCGCTCCCTTCATGAATTGATTGACAGTCATTCACTATCAGGTTTAGTCCTTGCACTACGACATATCGGCTAAGCTGTGCGGCAGATTGTAGGTGGAATTCCAGACTGCAGTGGAACTAAGAGCCACACCCTCACTTGATTTCCTTACCGAGAACGTCGTAGGCCTTACCTCATTCTCAACAATCTGAGCCTTTCGCAGTTGCCCTTCTTTTGTTTGCCTTCCGCACTTGACGCTCTCAAAATACCTCCGCTCTCATCACAACTCCGCCTCCACCTTAGTTACAGGGCGTATTTCCGTGCCCACTAGTTCAGAGCAGCGTCAATTTTCCTTGCGTTCCACAATTCACATCAGCCAGCCATGGCGACCGCCGCTGTTTCCGACCTTTCCCGCCGGGCAGTCCCCTGCACAGCCATGAGAACTCAGTCCACCTCTCGCCAGCATCTACCATCATTTTCTGGTGCGAATTTTCCTGCTGCGATCCTCGTTTTATTCTCTTCTCCGGCTGCCTTTCCGCGGCCTTATCTCGCTGTTTCGTCGTATCATCGTATGTTGACTCGCGGATTCACAAAAGAACACCCAAGCGCTTTGTTTCGTTATAAATAGCTTCCTCATAAGTAGCCTTATTCAAGGCTGAACTTATACCCCCCTTATGATCCCCTTTTGCAGGCCCGCCTCTCGCCGCGCATACCCCTCGCCGTCATCACGCTATCGTCAGCTTCCGCCGCTCGTCCCTCGCAGGAATCGCGCGAGTGACAGTATCGAGAGCCAATCTTAGCCGCACATCCGTCACGCGACCTCTCTCGAGGCGTTTTCCGCCCTCGATTCGCGCCTTCACAAACCAATCGGACGCGGCGCGGCCCGGCAGCAAGGCATCCCGGATCGCGGCAACAGATGCGGCTCCGTCCCTCCTCGACACGTCCCGACGACAAGCCGCCGCTGCTGCACGTTCCCCTGCCGCCGCCGCTACCTCCGCTTCTGCCGCTGCTTCTACCACAGCTGCCGCTGCCGCGACGCTCGAGGACTCGTTATCGAGTCGCGGCATTCCCGAGGCGTATTCAACGGACGCGCAAATCCTGCGCGGCGAGGTGGAGGGATTCGCGGGGATGAACGAGGAGGGCGAGTGGATTCTGCTGTTGCCGTCGGGCCGCAAGCGGCAGTACCCGCGAAAGCGCCGCTCGAAACCTCGAGTTCCTCTCGCCATTGACCCCGTTGACCGCGTTGACGCCCCTCGAAACGCCGCATGCAGCGTCCGTCTGCCGTCAGATGTGTCGCAGATTGAAGAATCTACGCCGTTCGTGGTCAGCAGCGGAAGATCAAATCTGCTGCCTGTCGTTAATCCCGAGCTTTCAGGCTCTCCTGGGGCGCCACGTGGCAGGCATCCGTCCCCTAGAGCCTTATCCGAAGCGGCAGTGAGGGTGAGAAGGGAAAGGCAGAAGTTGCAGCAGCAGCGCCAGCAGGGGGGCGACGCGCTAGTTTATGACTATAACGAAGGGTCGAATGATGCGACAAAGGCTGATGTGACTGAAGCGGACGATGTTTTCTTCTCTGCGCCCTCCACACCCACCTCCCCTTCCTCCTCCTCCTCTTCCTCCTCCTCATCCCCCTCCCCGCCCTCCCCTCCCTTCTCCCTGTTCCCATTGCTGGCTTCCGACTTGCGCCCCGCTTCCGCTCCTGCGCCCGTTTCCGCCGCTCCGCGCACCCCGCTGCCCGAATTCGCGCCGTCGCGAGCAGCCGACGCAGTTCAAGAGGCGGAAGGGGGGAGGGAAGCGGAGCAAGCGGGCAAGAATTGGCGGGGAGTGTCCCACAAGCGTACAGTGAGACTGAGCTTAGCGCGTCCGCCGTCGGCAATCAGGCGAGCGGCGATAGAAACCACAGAAGTTCCGGACCATCAACTGTGGGCTAAGGAAGTAGGAAGGGGTGCGGAGGAGGCGCAGGCGGCGGAGACGCAGGGGGAGAGGGAGGGGGAGAGGCGGGGTGGGGCGGAAGTGGCAGGCGCGCTGAAGGCCGTGAGGCGGCACCTGAGTGGGGGAGCGCGGAGCGGGATAATGACAGCTAGAGCCATGCTGGACGAGGTGAGTGTCGAGCAGCTGGAGCGAGGCCAAGTGAAGGGCGGCGGGGAGAGGGGAAGACGAAGGGAGTGGGTGAGGAGGTGTCGAAAGGCATGGAGGAATACAGCTGCTGGGAGCATGCAGCCATGTATCATTTCCTGCCCAACTCTTGTTTCCCACGTCCTGTAGGAAGGCAGGCAACCCCGTTTCTCTGTGTCCCTCACTCACACTCTCTCTGCTTCGCTCGCCCCCCTGTCTCCCCGTGTCCTCCCTGTCTCCCGCAGCTGCTATCCCAGCAACCTACGAACCCTCAAGTCCAGGAGCACATGGCGCTGGCAGAGAGGAAGGCAGGCAACACAGCAGCCGCCAGGGCGTGGTACCGACGCAGCGCCCAGGGCTACGAGGAGACTCTGGCGGTTGGCACTGCCTCCCCGCACTCAGGGGGTGCTTTTGTGAACCACCACGGCGACGCAAGGCATTCAGACGCCAGGCACTCGGTAGAGAGAGGGCCTGCGGAGCTAATGAGTGCAGGAGTTGCAGAGGAGGGTGTGCACCTGAGGAATCACCTGGGGCGGTGCCTGCAGGCATGGGCGGGGATGGAGGCGGAGGAGGGCGACATGGTGACCAGCAGACAGCTGTTTCAACGGTCAATGGTGATACTGACGCGGGGAGAACCAGGCTACCAGCAACTGCAGGAGCAGCAGGGCAGAACTAAACAGTCGGGGCAATCTCTGAAGGATAGTGGAAGCCTTGTGATTGGCCTGCACGCCTGGGCCATGGCTGAGAAGCGTGAAGGGAACTTTCAGGCTGCCCGAAACCTGCTGGAGCAGGCAGAGAAGCTTCAGCCGGGAAGTCCTGTGGTTCTGCAGTCACGAGCCCTTCTGGAAGCTTCTGTTAAGAACCTGGGTGCAGCCCGGTGCTACTTCAAGAAGGCCACTGCTGCTGCCCCTCTTGACGTTGCGTCCTGGCAGGTGGGTTCACTCACTGTATCACTGTTGCGCAATACTTCATATGCTTGCTGCTGCTCTCTTCCCACTATCTCTTCCTCGTTGATTCTTTTCGCTGCTCTCGAGCTCTCCCTGTCAGCACGCTGTTCGCAATTCAATGCGTGGCATCGCAACTGCCTCTCATGGAGCTGCATGTGAAGAACCCACCACGTTCTCACCCCGCCCATGCACTCTCTCCTATCCCTCATCCCACCTCAGGCATGGGCCCTCCTCGAAGCAAAGGCCGGCCGGGCAGACCGCATGCGTTCACTCTTCAGCTCCGCACTATCAGCCAACCCCAAGTCCATTCCCACTCTGCACGCGTGGGCGTGCCAGGAGGCCCGCCTAGCCACACCCGAGAGCAGGGAGGCAGCCAGGGGGCTATTTCGGAGATGTTTGGAGGTGCAGCCTGGGTGTGTGCGGGCGCTGCAGGCGTGGGGTGTGATGGAGCATGCTGCAGGGGATGTTGAGGCGGCCAGGAGACTGTTTTACTGCTGCCTTGAGGCTGCTCCGAGCTCAGTCCCCACTCTCCAGGTATGCTCCCTCCTCTCTCACCTCACCCCGCATGTAACAACAACTACCTTTTTCTTCCCTTGTTGGAATCCGCCGGCCTGCTTCGTTGCAGTGTCACGTGATCGTAATGTAGCCTTAAGTTGTTCCATGCCCCATCTCCTTCCACTTGCATATATCACCCCCATTACCCCCTAACAGCTCCCATCAACCCCCGTTCTCCCCTCTCCTCTTCACCCTCGTGTCTCTCAGCAGCGCTGGGGAACTTCAGCAGCAGCGCTTTGAGCTGTCTGTGCGGGCACCTCAAGAATAATTTCTCCCCCCTCCCCTGCTCCT